ATAATATAATATAATGTTATAATTAATAAGTAATTATTTAATTATAATGTAAGTAATCATTTGTTTATAACGTAATGTCATAATTAATTAAGTAATTATTTAATTATGTAATATTATAATTAATTACATGATCAAACTATAATGTAATGTTATAATGAATTGAGTAATCATACTATAAATCTTTAATGTAATATTATAATTAATTAAGTGATTATTTAATTAAGTAATCAACTGTTTATAACGTAATGTTATAATTAATTAAGTAATCATACTATAAATTAATAATGTAATATTATAATTAATTAAATTTCTAATCATTTAATTAAGTATTGTGCTAATGTAGTAAATTACTAATGTTTATAATATAATATTATAATTAATTAAATAATCATTTAATTATGTGATCATACTATAATGAATTGAGTAATCATACTATAAATCTTTAATATAATATTATAATTAATTAAATTTATAATCATTTAATTAAATATTGTAGTAATGTTTATAATGGAATGTTATAATTAATTAAGTAATCATTTATTTATAATGTAATGTTATAATTAATTAAGTAATTAATGTAATGTTATAATTAATTAAATTTTTAATTTTTTAATTAAGTAATATACTAAATTATTAATGTAATGTTATAAACTTATAATTAATTAAGTAATCATTTAATTATAATGTAATGATATAGTTAGAACTTGATAATTGAAGTAAATAACTAAATATTATATTATTATTCAATCAAATATATTATTTTATTCAAAAATAATTCTTTTAATAACATTAAAACACTTTTATTTGGTCATAATTCCAATTATACACTTAATTAATCAAAATTTATATTAATATATTATAATATATTAAAGTTTTGTATATAGTGTAGTTTATATCTAATAAATATAATTGTATATCTATTTAAGGCTGAACGATTGTACCCACCCATAGTTTTCCGTAAAGACAAGTTGGTATCCAAAAAGTTTGGAAATGACAAACGCCTACTTTCCGTTAATATTTATTGGTTAAGTTTAAACTGAAGAAAGATAAAATAGTAAATTTAAAAACAAATAAAGGGCAATTATGTCATTTTACCGCTTTCTTCTTCAGTTAAAAGCTTGAAAGTCCCATTTGCGTCAGGTAACTGTTCAATCAAATGCCTGAAGCCCTGAACGGAATATAAATTAGATTCAAAGGAAATTTTATAAAATTAATAATTGACAAGGAACACAAAAACGATTTTAATTCCTGTTATGGATTCAAGCGTTTCACAATTCATGACAACTAATCACAATCAGTGGGATTTTGAATTGAATGTCAACTCAATTCTTTCTACACTATGAATGTTGCATTATAAGTTCAGATATTTTCTTGCCATTAAAGATCTCTTTGTTTCTATCCTGATATTTTTTGGAATCTGGATTTCTGGGTTTGAGTTGTTTTTTCTTTTTTCGATCTCAGTTTGTTTCAGTCCACCTTTCTTCTTCAAAGCCACCACCGTCGGTATTTTTGCTTGCTTTCTTTCCATTTTCCTTCACCTTTTCAGTTGATCTCACCTCCCATCACCATCCTCCTCCATCCCCAGCAGGATTTGACCACCCCTGTCACCACCGTTCAACTCCCCATCCTCTCCTCTTCAAAACGCATCTCTCCATTAACCCTCCCCACTCGTCGTTTGTCGCTCGTGACCTGCATCTGTCGCCGCGAGACAGTCACGTTTTGCGACCTTTTCTTTTGCGCTTTGTTGGTTTTTTGATGTTTGATTGGTGGGTTACTGTTTAGAAGTGTTGGTGTTGCTGTTGTGGTGTGGTGTTTTTTTAGTAGCCGGCCGTTCCCCCATCGCTTCAACCTTGTTGCTTCATCGTCGCCCACCACCTGTCTGACCTTTTGAGCATCCAGCTCCCAGTCTGCTCAATAACCAACTGTTGGAGTCTGGGTTTGTTGGTGAGTGATTGTAAGATTTCCCGGCCATGCCCCCGCCACCGGCGACCAAAAGTTTTCTGGTTTTGAAAACGTCCACTTTTTTTTCTCAACTAACTAAGCAATTGCAATTACCATACTATCCTTCAGCAGACAGAATTCGCTAACATAACTTGATGGAAAGTGGGTATTTGTCAATTGTCATTGCCAAACTTTTTAGGTACCAACTTGTCTTTATGACAAATTATAGGTAGGTGCATGTCGTTCAACCTTTATTTAATTGGGTTGTTGTAAAAATTTAACTTTTTCCATTTTAAATTTTTTTTATTTGTAAAATTACAGTAGACCCTCCATTCTTCACAGATATTTTTTCAGCCTAAGTTCCAAAACAGGGTACCCACTGCAAGTTCCAAGCTGGGTACCCACTACAGGTTCTTTTTAGTTTTTTTTAGGTTTCGGTTTCGGTTTCAGTTCTTTCACATGTAGGAACCGGAATCGAAACCGCACAGTATCAGTTCCAAAAAAATGGAACTGGAACCTACCTACACAGTGTCGGTTCAGGGTAGGTTTTGGTTCTGGTTTCGATTCTACCCGCAGGTTCCTGTTCAGCCCGCTACCCGTGCTCACCCTAATACATTACTTATAAATAAAGATTAAAGACCATAATGTTATGGACTAAAGGTTACTTAAGCCAAACCTTAAGAACTAAATTGTTATTTTCCCCAGTTCCGTATCTTTGGACCTGTGTACTAAAAGTTTTAACATTTATCACAATATTAGAGATGATATCAAATTAGTCTTGGTGTTCTGCATTTAAGTTAAAATAACTTTACAATATGTTAGGAAACAATAACATTATGAAATATTAGAGCTTTATTGGTACATTCTATGTTATAACAAACAAGAGCTCGAATCAATTTATAAGTTTGAGTTTCTTCAATAAATAAATTTGTTGAAATAGTGTCACAATTGATAAAACTCTGATTCTAGACAAGTGATGGTAACTACCAAGTTGAATTACAATAAGGGTAGAAGGAATTTCTGGTGGAGCAATGAAATGTGTAGAGATCGACAAAATCACCAACGGTGAAAGCACTCTATTGGGCCGACAATGACACTGAGAGATAGAAGCTAAAGGAACAAATGGAATTAGATACTCTAATAGTCCTAGCCATAAACAATGGATACTAGACCTTATACGTATCGGCTGCGCAGTGTTAGTGTTAAGTTAACACGTTTAGCTCAAGCCTTGTGTTTCTAGACCCGTGATGGAAACTACCAAGCTGAAGCGCAGTAAGGGCAAAGGGAATTTCCAGTGGAGCACTGAAATGTGTAGAGACTGACAAAATCATTAACGGTGAAAACACTTTATTGGGCCGACACTGACACTAAGAGACGAAAGCTAGAGGAGCGAAAAGAATTAGATACTCTAAGGGTCCGCTTGTGAGTTTCATAGTAGCGGTTATGAGGGTAAACTACTGTAGCGGTTTTGAGGGTAAACCATCGTAGCGGTTTTGATGAGTTTTTAGTAGCTGTTTTTAAAACACCCAACCTGTGCTTGAGAGTTTATTTTTTAGAGGTTCTAACAGTTTTTTAAAATGATAAATTTACATATATACCCATAAAAATACTCTAACTCTAACTAGTACTTTGGAGTTTTGTTTTTTCAGTTATAAGGTAAGAGTTCTTTATTTGTTTTCTACTTATTAGTATTTTATAACTTCAAATGTGATAAAGTTTTCTTATCATTCTTCGCCATTCTTTGCAGCATCTAGAATGATTGAAAAATTGTAACTCTACTTCTCCAAGAAAGCATCTAGAAATGAGATTTTAATAATTTTTTTTTTTTTTATGATTGCTTAAAATCGTTTTATATTTAATATGGTTGAAAACTTGCATAATATGATTATTATTATTATTATTATTATTTTGGATGTAATTGGGATAGTTTTATAGTGGATAGGATATTTGTGGAATAAAATTTTAAAATCAACCAAAACACCCTGATTTTGGGTGTTTTATAAACCCCTTAAAAATACACTACATTGGTTCTAGGGGATTTTTGAGTCAGTCAAAACTAATACATAAAAAATCTGGCAAGTAATGGTTTAAAAACACCTCAAAACCAGTCTAATTAAAAATCCCTCAAAACCAGTATAAAAAAAACTTCTAAGCATACCCTTAATAGTCCTAACCATAAACAATGGATACTAGACCTTATGGGTATCGACCATGCAATGCCACTGTTGTAGCTGACTCGTTTACCTGAAGCTTTAGGAATGGTGTCTCAATTTTTGTAACACGCCGTGTTTATTTGGACGAGAATTGCTATGCTTCCTCTCTCATTTACATATTTCATGTCCAAAAAGCAAAAGAAGATCTGAAATAGCAAGACTTAATGAACCCCAAGCTTTAGAATAGTGTCACAATTTGTGTAGCACGCCGTACTATTTGGACGAGACTATGCTATGCCTCCTCTCTCATTTACTTATTTCGTGTCCAAAAAGCAAAAGAAGATCTGAAATAGGAAGACTTAATGAACCCCAACGTTACTTCAATTGTCAGTCCCTGAATCCCTTTATTTAGACCATTAGATTCTACTTTTCTACGGCTTCTTGGATGCACCAAATTAATCCATTTAGCAAGGTATTTTTATTTTGTTTTCCCAGGAACCTTTCCACAATTATAAAAGAAGCAAAGAACAAAGCACTAACACAGTTCATTTTTCAACCTTTATTTTTCCCTTTGTTTTATTCCCATCATGAACTTGAAACCAATATTGTCAAGCAAGGAAGCTGGAAGCACAACAAATGTTTTTAATTCTCTGAAAAATTTGCAAAAACACAAATCACGTTTTTAAGAGATAAAGATCGATTGAAGACATTGAATATTGCATAAGCTACTGGTTTAGATTTGTGGGGCTGCAGAAAAAGCGATAAAGTGATTGTGTAACAATCAAATTCTCTTAAGGATAAAACCCAATTGGAAGCAAGGAAGTTGATTCAGCTAGCTTTATTCCATTTCTGAGATTTATATAAAGGCTGAGGTTGTTGCAAGAAAGCATAAAGCCATTCCTCCACTAAATTCTCTAAACCTTGAAGCTTTTACTGAGTGATTGACATGGCCAGCAACCAGCAAGCGCCGGGCAACCAGCAGCCATTGGTGGGGAGCCAACAACAAGGCAACCTACAGCCACTGAATGTGTTACAACCACAACAACCTTCCGGCGTACCGTCAATAATGATGAACCAACCCAACCTGCAGTCAATGCCATTGTCCGCCAGACAACCGACCGCCAACATGCCGTTGATGGGCAGTCTGAAACCATCCAATGTGCCAGGACTACAACCCCAGCAAAATCCAACCAATGTGCAACCATTTTTCCCCAGCCAACAAACCCCTGCCAATTTACAGCCAAACATTGGCAGCCAGCAGAACCCCACAAATGTGCAGCCACACCAGCAGCACCCTGCAGCCAACGTGCAGCAGCCGCACACGGCCAGCCACCAAAGTCCTAGCAATGTGCACACACAGACTGGCGGCCATCAAACTCCAGGAGGCAATTTGCAGCACTATATGGGCCTGCAACGACCAATTTCTGGTATTATGCAGCCACAACTGGCAAGCAAGCCACCAGCAGCCAACCCTCTAATTCAGTCAGCTATCAAACATGGTATGGGACCGACAGCGAGAGGCGACAGACTCATGTTCTCAACATCTGATGACAATGTCATGTTGAGGCAAATCCAGGGAACCCATGTTCCTGATGGACGTGAATTCAATGTCAAACCACTTCTTGATATCGTTGAGAACATCTTTAAACAAGCTGTCCCAGGTGTTGAGGCCATCAGCGCACAGGTAACAGTCTAATGCTAAACTAATCTCTTCTATTTTTTTCAGTTAATTTGAGAATAACCTTGTTGATTAATTAAATAGTTTTGCTCATCCATTTAACTTGTATTTGAAGGAATTGCTAGCAATCACAGACACTGATGACAAGACATACCAAACCAGTGTCATTGGCATGCTCGAGGCCTTGGCCTATCTCATTGATCGAATTTCTTGCGAGGTTATAAATCAAAATAAATATTGAAATTTCTCTCTGCACATATTATAAATTTTCATTTAAGTATGTGATTAATTGGTTCTATATCATTAATGTTCACAGATAACATGCAAGTGCTCTGGTGGTGGGGATACACATGCAACTGCAATATCAATATTGAACATGTTATCAAGTTTTTCATGGGATGCCAAATTGGCGTTAGCCTTGTCGGCTTTCGCAGTGACCTACGGCGAGTTCTGGCTTGTTGCCCAGAGTTACACTTCAAACCAACTTGCCAAAGCTGTGGCGATCCTGAAGCAATTACCTGAGATCTTGGAAAACACTAGTGTGTTAAAACCTCAGTTTGATGCAATTAAAAACCTAATCAAAGCAATGGTAGATATCAGCAAATGCATTGTTGAGTTCAGGCAGCTACCAACTCATTACATTACACCAGATGTTGAAGCACTATCCACGGCCATGGCTCATATACCAGTTGCTGTGTACTGGACCATCAGAAGTATTTTGGCTTGTGCTTCCCAACTAACAGGCCTTACTTTGTTGGGACGAGAGTAAGTATAATTTTTATATCCTAGTTATAATGATCAACCTGATAATTAACACCCTGATCTTGCTTTTTTCATATGCATGCTTCTGAATTTACTGCCAGTGAGCTGCTTTTTTGGGCTTCTTTATTGGGTTTCTGAATCTAGATAATAAAAGATAAGAAATAGGATCCTTTTTATGAATGCCAATGAGCTTCTTTGTTGGGCTACAGGCACATGGTATCAACTACAGAAGCTTGGGAGCTATCCAGCTTGGCTCACAAGCTCAGCAACATGCACAGCCACCTCTTAACTCAACTGCAGAGCTGCCACAAGCACATAGGTGAGTTAAAACTCTGTGCAAATTTGTAGATGAATATGTCACAAGTAATGCAACATTATGTATGGAATGAAAGATGGATATTTATGGTATCACCATTTGACACAGACGAAAAGAAACATCTTGAAGCTTATCAAAATCTTTTGCATTTGTTCGATATGGTCCACATTGACAACATGAGGATTATCAAGGCTTTAATCTACCAGAAGGATGACCTGTTGCCACTTGTTGATGGATCCACCAAGAGAAGGGTTTGTTCAAGTTCTCCTTACTTTTTCTCTACTAATTTGACTATCTATTCAACTAACTCTTCGTGTTCCATCTGGTGCTGATTTAAATATTTACCTTCTGCATGATAATTATAAAAATAGGTAAGCCTGGAGGTTCTGAAGCGAAAGAATGTGTTACTGCTCATATCAGACCTAGATATCTCGCAAGAGGAGCTTTCAATTCTTGAACAGATATATACTGAGGGCCGATCACACCCGACAAGGCAGGAGAGTCAGTACGAGGTGGTGTGGCTCCCAATTCTGGACCCAACCATCAATTGGACTGATGCCAAGCAAAAGCAATTGGAGACTCTGCAGACTGTTATGCCATGGTATACAGTGCACCACCCTTCACTGATTGATAGGGCTGTAATAAAATTCATCAAGGATGTGTGGCATTTTGGGAAAAGGCCTATTCTTGTGGTGTTAGACCCACAAGGACGTGTTGTGAGCCCCAATGCACTCCACATGATGTGGATTTGGGGGACTTTGGCCTTCCCTTTCACCACAGCAAGAGAGGAGGCATTATGGAAGGAAGAGACTTGGAAGCTTGAATTGTTGGTGGACGGCATTGACCCAACCGTTGTCAACTGGGTATACATCTTCTCCATCATATGTTCTTGTGCATAGTGATTTTAAGTTGTGCATCTATCTTTGCATGGCTGAATGTACTAATATTTGAAATTTCTTGATTGGCCAGATAGTGGAAGGAAGACACATTTGCTTGTATGGAGGAGAGGACATTGAATGGATCAGAAAATTTACAAACGCTGCAAATGCTGTTGCTGACGCAGCAAATATTTCCCTGGGAATGGTCTATGTGGGAAAGAGCAACCCAAAAGAGCGTGTTCGCAGGATTTCCGCAACCATAGCTGCGGAAAAACTCAGCTACGTCATGAGCGGCTTAACCGAAATTTGGTACTTCTGGGTTAGGATTGAGAGCATGTGGCACTCCAAAAATCAGCTGCGCAGAACCGTTGAGAATGACCATATAATGAGCGAAATCATGACGATGCTCAGCTACGATGGCAGTGAAGGCGGATGGGCAGTGTTCGGTAAAGGATCATCCGAAATGATCAGAGCAAAGGGAAGTACATTTTTAACTTGTTTGCAAGAGCATAATGCATGGAAGAACGAAGTACCGCGAAAGGGCTTTCTGCCAGCAATGAGTGATTATCTGACGCAGCTGTACTCACCGCATCACTGCAGCCGACTGGTGCTGCCAGGTACCGCTGGAATGATACCAGAAAAAGTGGTTTGCTCAGAATGTGGTCGCACCATGGAGAGGTATATCATGTATCAATGCTGTGATGAATAAACAGCAAGCTGCTGCCAATGATGCAATACTACTATATGCATAGTAAGACTGCTTGCAATGAGTAGCAAGTTTGGAATAATATTAATTACCAAGTGTGAGTTAAGTGTTTTTTTCATATTATTCTCTGTTATCGTACTTTATATTTAAGGAAACAGTGTGTATCCATCTTTATTCCAAAGTTTGAATAAATTGTTCCTTCAATCTCTGTGTCTGTAACTTTCTTGTCTTGGGAATATGCAAGGGAAAAATTTAGGATCAATTGGTTGGATGAGAGCTTAATTAGGTTTCACTATGTTTTAGCCTGATTTTTGTATAATTTTTTTTTTTCTTTTTCTGAAATCCAGTGATATTGTAAAGTGCAAAGTCAATCAGGCCAATTTATCAAGGCAAAGCAATGATTCCCAAAACAAAGAAGCCACATACTACTGTATCATGTTATCATTTGAAGCAAAAAATACAATTAAAAGAAATTGAGTGGAATATTAAAAAGATAATTCAAATGACATATATTCATGTAATCAATTGAAAGAATTAAAAAATATCTCCTCATTCCCAGTTAATTAGAGAAAAAAAGGGAGATAATGGGATCAAGATTCAGTAATTCAAAGTGACCCAACGGTCAACCAGGATTCTTGGATATATTACTCAAGAATTTCTTAGTTTGATCCACGTGGGTTACTAATAAGAGCGGTTATTGAGGGTTCCCTCGTTCAGTTGTCAACTTCAAGTCTTAGAGAATTAGTTAAGTAGAGAACTCAATCCTCCTCTTTCTAAATTGTTTTCATTAGCCCATCTCCAGAATAACTTTGCTGAATTAAGGTTATTTACTTGGCTGATGAGTCGCAGGTCAGACATCCCAACAGCAAATTATTAATCAATTATGGTTTATATCACTTTATTTCCCTGGTAGCTGTGGCTCAGTTGATTAATATTTAATTAAAAAAGGACTAAAATAAAGAATGAAGTCTCCCTTTTCTCTTGGTTTTGGATAAAAAGTTTTACAGAATGTATAATCAAGACTGCAAATTCCTCTTAAAGCTCACAAATTCCTCTTTACTCATTTGGATGTGTGATTTTGAAACCTTGTTTTCAGGTAAAGTTAAAGGGAGCAGAATAAAGCCAAAGGCTTCTTTTTAACTGTTAGCAATATTTTAATTGCAATCGAAGCAAGGAAGTTGATTCTCATGAGGCTTTACTCCATTTCTAAGATTTCTTTCTCTTCTTTTGATTATATCAACAATATCCAAATTTTGCTAGAAACAGAAGTCTACCTAGCTGAGAGCATTCAACAATGGCTGAGGCTCTTCTGAAGGCCACTCTTCTGAGCCAAATTCAGGCCACACATAAGTGTGATGAACGAATCCTTGAAGAAGTCGAAAATCTTCTCTGCCTCATTGAAGACATTCTTGATCATCCTTTCCAGGATGATGATAATGCCAAGGTATACATTTACTAATCCATTTGATTTGAATAATTGGTCAACTATATTGTGATTCACTCTATGAATGGAGCTCGTTTGTGTTACTAAATTAATTTACTCCTTTTATCTTTTTATCTTTTCTGATTTTGTTTTGTGTCTGTAACTGCAGGATGAACAACTACGCAAAGAGGAAAAAACCCGCAAAAGACAAGTTACTTCCATGCTTGAGGAACACAACTACACCATTGACAGCATTGGCTACGAGGTATTAACTTAATTTTCCAAATTCAGAGCATTACAAAAAAAGAGTTCACTGCTTCATGCCCATTTGAGAATCAAATATCTTCTAGTTACTTACAATAGAATATGAAATTGCAGATAGCGAATAAGATCTCTAGTAGAGAGAATTCAGACATAATAACATTGGACATACTCAACTTGTTAAGCAACTATGAATGGAATGCTAAATTGGTGCTGGTTCTAGCAGCTTTCGCTTTTAACTATGGTGAATCCTGGGACCTGGTTTTTTTATCAGAAAAACGCACCGGCACAAATAAACTTAGTCCCCAGCTTGATGCACTTAAGCATCTGGTTAAGGCAATGTTGGACTTGACCTGGTGCATTGCTAGGATCAAGAAACCATCCTCCAGAGAGATGTCTGACATCTCAATACATGCTACCTATTGGATCATCAAAAGTGTTGTGGCTTGTGCATCTCAGATTACTAGCTTCACCGATATGGGTTTTGGGTATGTATTTGTTTCTCATGATAATTATACAATCATTTATTCAATTGTTAGTAGTGAACATACTATTATTTCAGTTACGAAATATCAGAGGAAGGAGAAGAAGAAGAAGAAGAAGAAAAAGAAGAGTTATCCGGCTTGGGCTGCTTGGCAGAAGAACTCGTAAAGCTCCAATGTGAATTCTATGAAACGATGCGTAAGCCACTCATTGATATCAGCTGTATGGAAGTATATGTTGCAATTCTGTCTCACGAAATCACCATTTGACACAGGAAAGGTACCAGATGAAGCTTATAAGGACTTTTTGCGCATGTACGATGTGAACAGCATTGGCATCTTGGGGGTTATCAACTCTTTTTTTAACGAGGAGAATAACCAGCTGCCGCTTGTTCATGGAGCCACCAAGAGAAAGGTTTGTTCTTGTTCACTTTTTCTTTATCTTCTTGACATAACTGAAGTTATACGTTACCTTTGTCAAAAATAAGGTATTCAACCTGTTCAAAAAATCACAAGTTTGATGAAACACGAATCTCTTTTTCACAAATTTAGCATTTTTAAGTAGTGTAAACTCTAAAGCAAGAATAACAGGACTTCCAGAAATAAAAGAGAAATTTTGAGAAGGAATTTTTCTCAGCACTCTCTTATTATATCATTTATATCTTCCAAAGTTATGGTTCTAATTAAGCATTCACCTTGGTCATGAGAATTAAATAGGTAAAGCTTGACGTCCTAGAGGAAAAACATGTCCTGCTGCTCATATCAGACCTAGATATCTCACAAGAAGAGATTTCCATTCTTGAAAAGATATACCTTCAGGATCAGGAGAGTCGGCCGTATGAGGTAGTGTGGCTCCCAATTCTAGACCCAAAAACCAGATGGAATACTCTTGACAAGCAAAAGAAATTTAAGAGTCTTCAGGAAGCTATGAAATGGTATAGTGTGCAGCAACCTTCATTGATTGATACGAATGTCATAAAATTTATAAAGGAAAAGTGGGATTTTCAAAAGGAGCGTGTTGTTGTGCCGTTAGACCAAAAAGGACAGGTTTTAAGTCCCAGTAATGCACTCCATTTGATGTGGATTTGGGGTAATAAGGCCTTCCCTTTCACCGAAGAAATGGAGGAAGAGTTATGGAAGAAAGCAACTTGGTGTCTTGAATTCCTGGTGGATGACATTGACAAAGTGATTCTCAAATGGGTATACATACCTCTCTCTGAATTGTGCACGATGCTTTTGAATTTTTTTTTTTTTTTTTGGTCTTAATTATTAACAAGGATGCTTGTATTTACTAATATTTGAAATTTCTTGTTTGACCAGATAGCAGAAGGAAGACACATTTGCTTGTATGGAGGAGAGGACATAAAATGGATCCGAAAATTTACAAAAACTGCACATTGTGTTGCTGAAGAAGCAGGTATCGCCCTGGGAATGGTTTATGTGGGAAAGAGCAATCGAAATCATAGTGTTCGCAGGAACACCGCAACCGTAGCTGTGGAGAAACTCAGCCACTACTGGAGTGACTCAACCTCAATTTGGCACTTCTGGGTTAGGCTGAAGAGCATGAAGCGCTCCAAAGATAAGCTGCGCAAAACTGTTGAAAATGACCAAATAATGCGCGAAATCTCGACAATGCTCAGCTATGATAACAGTAAATATGGATGGGCCTTGTTTGCTAAAGGTTCCACCGAAATGGTGGGTTTTCTGCCGGCACTACGTGATCACCTTAAGCGGCTCTCAGTACCAGATTATCAAATAAGTGAACTGCCAATAACGGAGCCAGATAATCTATCAAGTGAACTGCAAGTAAAGCAGCTCTCAGAACCGTATCGGCAACCGTACCAAATTGTGCTACCCGTTAATGGTGCGACCGCACCAGAAGGAAGGCATTGCGATAAATGTAGCCGCCCCATGGAGATGAGGTTCATCATATATGAGTGCTCCTCGTGCACTGATGAATAAATAAACAGCTCAGAAGAGCCACATGTTATGTTATATTACCAATGATGCAATACTGCTAGCTTAGCTTCATGCATGGTGAGATTGCTTGCAGTGAGTAGGAAGTTTGGAATAATACTAATTACTGAGTGTGAGTGTGAGTGTGAGTGTGAGTGTTAAGAAACAGTCAGTGTGTTCGTTCTCTTGTTCGCTATGCTTTGAATAAATTGTTTGTTTGTTCTTTCAAGCTCTCTATCTGCAGTTGCCCTACCATGGATATGCTAAAGGAGAAATCAGAAAACATTTAAAGACAGGGAATGATGGATCAGAGTTGGCTCATTAAATCAATACAACTTTAATTACTTTTGAGAATTATCTCAAATTTCCCCTGAAATTATACTTAATTATCGCTGCCCTCCTTTAAAGTCATTGTAATTAGAGAAACCATGTAGGAGATCAGCCAAGAGAGGAACCGACTTTATCTCTTCTCCGCTCTCCGTTGGCCTTTGTCATCACCTCCCCTTACCGTCGTTGTCCACCACCTCCACGATTGTTTGATATTCGGCTACTGCATGCATCATACCTTTTCTCTTAGAACTAACTTGTACTTGAGTTTAGTTTGGTCATTTTGAAACAGTAACACAATAACTTGCTCTGTTGTTAACTTGATGCAAACTATAGAAACAGTAAAATCACTCAAACTTTCAAAGTGGATTAATGGAGAAATCAGTCACTGCTTTTGAGTTATAAAATTCTCTACAACATTGACAACTATCCTATTTTCTATATATTATATTAACCAACAAATAAGCTAAAAGCAGATTCCAGAGAATTGTAACGAAGACCCTTGTATTTATTTATATTTGGAAAATGATACAATTATATATAGTTAAAGAAAAAAATATAGGAAAGAAATATATAGATCTTAAGAATGTATAAAGTAAGAAAATAAAGATCCTAAACCATTGATGCCATCCAGAGTTACTAGCACCTTAGCTGGTGATTATAGAAAAGTGAATATGAAAAATAGAATTCTTTGTTGGATTTCAGTAAGCTGGCAGGAGACAAGTTGTTCATAAAAACGAAATTCAAGTTATTCCTTCCTAGATTTGGCGTCCATGCCATAATACATTCCAGATTTTCCTAAGCAAAAGCAAGGAATCAAATCTCTCAGTTTATTTTCTCTTCACTCTTTGCCTTTATCAAAAAAAAAAAAAAAATTCCCAGGATGAGCACAAGACAAAAATTCCCTGTATGAGCACAAGCAAGGAAGCAAAGCACATAGTTGCTTCAAACATGTTTCTCGCTGCTGCCTGCGTATTCAATAAAACCATCTTATTCAAATGTGATAGTGATACTGTATATTCCCTCTTTGTACCCATTTTTTTATTTGAAGTTCTTACATTTATTCGTTTTTCTTTATTAGTACTTACTGAACAAAGTCTTATTTCTTCGTATGAAACTTTTTTCAAGAAGTGGATTTTGATCCCAAAAGTTACACCGTGGTTCTATCATAAATATGTTTATTTGAATCCTTTAGTTAGAATGATACAATGTAATTAAGGTTAATAATTCTATTTACTTTTAACTAAGATGGACCACATTTGAACCTTGTGAATCAATATTGCGGGCTCTCTTGGTTCATTAGTAAAGTGAGAGAGAGGAAAGGGACAACAAAAGCCAGGCTTCCTCTTAACGATCAAACATTTTGATTGGACTGGAAGCAAAGTAGTTGATTCAACATCCCTGAATTTTGTTGCTGATGGCTATATATACCTCAACACATATTGCAACAAACCACACAACCCGATTTCTCTTCCTATCTTAATTTCAATCTTACCTTTTGCATAAATCTACATGGCTTACTGGTCATCAGGCTCTGGTGCTGATACCCAGAAGCTCATCAGGGGCGACCGGGGTATGGTGGCTATGTCTGATGACAATATCATGATGAAGCAAATCATAGCAACCCACACCCCTGATGGAAGAGAGGTTGATGTTAAACCTCTTTTCTTTCTCGTTCAGGACATCCTCAACCGTGCCACCTTTCAAGTTGATATCCCTGAGGTGATATGATATTACTTTATATGTGTTTAATATTGCTGATGTTTCTATCTTTATTTTTTTTTTTTCATGGCTAATCAATTGTAGTTTATTGCAGGGTGTCCAAGCACAAATGGAGATTGAGGACAAGTCCCAGCAAGCTGGTTTGTTTGCCATGATTGATGCAATATCTTTTACGATTGACAGGATTTCTTGCGAGGTATTTCAAATGATAAAACGCATAAGCACTAGTTTGTTCATATTTAGTATTTTTTTTTTATTTAAACATACAATTTCAATATGAATTTTCAGATAGCATACAAAGCTTTGGGAGGTTCAGATGCGCATGCAACAACTGTCTCTCTATTCAGCCTGCTAGCAACCTACTCTTGGGATGCTAAGTTGGTGCTCACCCTGGCAGCTTTTGCTCTAAACTATGGAGAATTCTGGCTCCTTGCTCAGATTTACCCCGCAAACCAACTAGCCAAATCAATGGCAATCCTGAAGCAATTGCCTTCCCTAATGGAGAACACTGGTCCATTGAAAGCACGCTTTGATGCACTTAACAATCTGATCAAGGCTATGATGGATGTGACCAAGTGCGTCATTGAGTTCAAGGAGCTACCATCCGCCTACATTCACCAGGATGTAGCTGCATTTTCCACTGCCATGACCCATATCCCAATCGCTGTCTACTGGACCATAAGGAGTATCGTGGCTTGCGCAACGCAGATCACTATGCTCACTAGCATGGGCCATGAGTATGATTCCCTTCCTTCCCAATATATCAATTAATGCTCATATCATTAGACAAGTTTTATTTAAGTTGACTTTGTTATGGTAAAAAAATCTTCAAACTCCAATATGAAACCATTAGTTGAATTATTCTATGCCATATATGTGATCCTCTGCTGCACTGATTTCAGTTATGCAGTATCAACCACAGAGTCATGGGAGCTATCCACCTTGGCTCACAAACTCAAGACCATATATGAACATCTTAGGAAGCAGCTGGCTACATGCTACCAATACATAGGTTAATTAGCCCTCTTTCTGAGTTTGATTTATTGAAACATGCAGTGCCCATATGTTAAATTGTACCTGCTTAATTAATGATATGAAATTTTCTGTTTGCCGTAGAGGAAAAGAAAAGTCTTGAAGCCTATCAAATGCTTCTGCATCTCTTTGAAACGCTCCATGTTGACAACATGAAGATCCTAAGGGCCTTGATCTATGCCAAGGATGATTTGCTGCCACTTGTTGATGGTGCTTCTAAGAAAAGGGTTCGCCTTCCGACATATCATATACCATTACTAATATTTCAGTCTTAACCAGCGGCAAATTTGATCTTTTATGTGATAAACAGGTTAGCATTGATGTGCTGCGGAGGAAGAATGTATTGCTGCTCATTTCTGGCCTAGACTTCTCCCACGAAGAGCTTTCTATTCTGGAACAAATTTACAGTGAATCAAGGCAGCAAGCAGGCAGGCTAGAGAGTCAATTTGAGGTTGTTTGGATTCCAATTGTGGATCGGTCAATCGAGTGGAATGAAGCAATGCAAAAGCAATTTGAGATCCTGCAGGCTTCAATGTCATGGTACACAGTGCACCATCCAACCCTGATAGAGAAAGCAGTGATCAAGTTCATCAAGGAAGTGTGGCATTTCAAGAACAGGCCAATTCTTGTAGTGCTAGACCCTCAAGGGAGGGTGGTCTGCCCAAAAGCAATTCACATGATGTGGATTTGGGGAAGCAATGCCTTCCCTTTCACAAGCATGAGAGAAGAAGCACTCTGGAAGGAAGAAGCCTGGAGGCTTGAGCTTCTAGTTGATGGCATTGATCCAATGGTTCTCAATTGGGTAAATTCCAACTCCTCATTCATTCTAGTATCCAATAACATTATACAACTAAATATTTACTAATTCGAAATGGGATTATTCTGTTTTGTACTCAGATTAGAGAAGGAAAATACATTTTCTTGTATGGAGGAGATGATCTAGAATGGATACGTAAATTCACAAACGCAGCACGCACAGTTGCAACTGCTGCACGCATCCCTCTGGAGATGGTGTATGTGGGGAAGAGCACCAAGAGGGAACAAGTGCGACGAATCATGGCAAGCATCCAAATTGAAAAGCTAAGTCAGGCGTGGCCAGACCTCACCATGGTATGGTTCTTCTGGACACGTCTCGAGAGCATGCTATTCTCCAAGATTCAACTGGGCAGAGCCGATGACCAAGACCCCATGATGCAAGAAATCAAGAAACTTCTGAGCTATGACAGAGACGGCGGATGGGCCGTGCTAAGCAAAGGCTCCCAGGTAGTAGTGAATGGACATGGAACCACCATTGTGCCTGCATTGTTGGAATATGATATTTGGAAGGAAAACGTGCCTGTTAAAGGTTTTGATGTGTCATTTAAGGAGCATCATCAGAAACTTCATGGCATTGCTCACCCATGTTGCCGCTTTGAGTTCTCGAGTCATTTTGGAAGAACTCCGCACAGCATGACATGCCCTGAGTGCCTCCGAGTGATGGAGAAATTCACAACTTTCTGCTGCTGCCATGATGATCATGTTCCAGGCATAGGCTCAAGCTCGCTATACTAATAATATGGGGGGCTTTAAGTTTCTCTTCTAATTAGCTTTGCTATATGTAATACGGCCTCCAAACCATGATGCGTTTTGTTTTGTGTGTTTATTATGGTACTATTATGAAATAAAATTCATGTGTGAGATGTAATGTAATGTCAATGGCCCCATTAGGGGCTACTTTGGATTTGACAATAAATTTAAAGAGTGATTATGTTATCATCAATTAGTAATAATTAGCAATAATGATCCTATTCTGTGCTAAAAATAATCTTAAAAAATAAACATTATTTAAAAATGGGACGACCGAAAATCAACTGCCCCTATAGCTCAGTGGTAGAGCGTCAGTCTTGTAAACTGAAGGTCTGTAGTTCGATCCTGCATGGGGGCAAACTTTTTCATTTTTTTTTTTTCGGCTACAAAAATTAGATACTGTTTAAGAGTGTATTAATGTTATACGATATTTTGAAAGTATGTATAAGAATATTCCTGCATTCCATCACTTCTTCTTTTGTTTTTTAATCTCAAATGATCTTGTTTTCATATAGCATTTCACTTAATAAAAAATAGAACACTATGACATATAATATGCAAATTTTGGATGAATTTTTTAAAGGTCTTATATACATGAATGAAACCTCTTATAAAAATCGAACATGACAGGATGATAACCTTAAATATATAAATTTAAAAGTCATTGCTTAATATAGACAAATTTTAATGCATAAAATCCTCCTTAATTAACTTTACCCAATTCAACTCGGTTTCAGCTTCATCCATTCTTGTTAAATATTGTACCTCTATGTTCTTGTAATATCAATTTGACATACACCACCCCGGTATATAAGTATAATATAACAAATTAATCTTACCTCTAAAAAAATTCTTTAAATTTATCCATTTTAAACAAATATATTTAGTAAATTAAAATAAAAATTGGAATGGATTTTTTATTTTTTTTATAATTAAAATAACCTACAAATAACATATAGAAGAACCCTTTTCTTTTTCAATTTTTTCATAAAATCATATCTCAATATTGTTTTAAAGAACTTATTAAGACTTAGTTTGATATTGTTGTAATTTGTTTCATAATCATTTATGGGTCTACTTTTAAAATAATGAAATTTAGAATTAATCTAATAGAGTATTTATTTTTCTTAATTTTAAAATCATTTTTACTTTTAGGGGATAATATGTTAACAATGTAAAAAGAGCAATAATAGATATATTTTGAATTAGTTTTTTGCTATTATTAAAGTATATAAAAATTCAAGCTCTTAAATAGAAAAAATTGAAATTTAAAAAAATATTTGTACACTGACTAAATGCTGCCAATGAACTGTCAACACCATTGAGATGGGTGGCGATGTACATTCACTCACCATCAACAGGTTCATGATCATCGTCGATGTATTTGATAGGAATTTACTTCAATAACTCAATAATTAGGTTGGGTTGTGGGTCTTTTATGGGCTTGGATATAATTCTTCTTAAAAAATCGACTTGTCATGGGAGATGTCTAAACCTTTATAACTCATATATCCACCATTTTCTCTTCCAATGTGAGATCTTAATAGTATTATGGCATCCGACATTGTTCGCCAATTCTAAAGTTTTCAATTTCTAATATTGTTTACTATCTTATTAATTTAATTTTAAATATTGTTTACAAAAAAAGAATTTTGATTTAAAGTTTAATTTGGGGTAATTTTGCAATTGAATACCTAAAAGCAATTTTTTATTTTCAAAAACTTAGAAAATCCTCTTTTGAAATCCTTTGGCTTCGTTTGGTTCAAAATTTGGGGGTTTTGGGAAAAGTTTTTTGAAAAAAGTTAAAAAAAGTTGAATTGGGCGGGTATTACGATGTAGAATTTATAAATTAATAAAATACCCTTTATGTTTGTTTTTTTACAAAATATCCCCTATAATAAAACATTAAAAGTGAACAAAAATACCCCTAACCCACCCTCAAACACCCCCAGCCGGTGACCACCACCGGAGGTGGCCGGAGTCGCCTTATGGGCGCATGACCGGTTGGATCTTGTCGGTCATGCGTCGCTATGGCCTTTTCCGGCCAGATCCACGGTGGATCTGGCCGGAAAAGGCCAGATCTACGATCAGATCTGGCCGTATTTGCTCTCAACGACGGCCAACAAACGGTCGTCGTTGATGGTCAACGACGACCGTTTGTTGGCCGTCGTGACCGAGTGTTACGGCCAAAGATTTGGCCGTCAACGGCCAGATCTTTGGCCTTTTCCGGCCAGATCCACCGGAAAAGGCTAGATCGGCGCACTACAGGCCAGATTCAGCCGGTAGTGCGCCATCCTACCAGATTCCGGCCATTTTCCGGTAGTGGTGGCCGGAATCTGGTAAATGTGGATTGTTGGGGTGTTTTGTAATTTTAAAAAAAATATTTAGGGTTATTTAATTAAATGAACAAATTTAGAGGGTTTTAAAAAAATTAAATAATATTGAAAATAGTATTCCCAAAAATGAGAGATTTTAGGTATTTTACTGTTTAACTTTTTTAGGAATACCAAGAATAATATTCCCAATCTTGAACCAAACGTGAGCCTTTGATAAATAGATTTCCATGATCACTTTTGAAATATGTTTATCGAAAACTTTTAGGACGATAGATTGCGAAATAAGTGATTATGGGGAAAACAATGGCAACCACCGATGACCGAACTCACCCTACATTAAATATTTTTTTTTTATATTTTCTACATTCCTCTATATATTCAGTATATAAGCAATTGACAATTTGACATAGATAAAAAAAAAATTACAAGGCTTGTGGAATTGGGACATAGTAAGGGTCAAAACCCTGCAAACACTACACTGCCGAAACAGAGGAGCCATTCTTTTTTCCTTTGAGAGCTTGTTCAACTTCAATGGCTTCTTGTCTTCAAAAGCTCCTCAAAAAGCCACCGCCAACAAGACTCATTGTTTCTTTACACGCCCAACAATCACCTACCCTCTTAACGCCTCCTCTTCTTCTTAATCACCAAACCCACATCGACACCAAAGCAGATCATCATCGCCATTCACCGCAAACAGCCGAGAACTTCATCCATTTCAACTCCTCTGTATTTTACCCAAGCTTTCCATTTGGTTTTTTTCTAGACCCGATTTTATCATCTGGGTCGATTCATTCTGAGCCCGAAAACGATGTTTCGGATGATGGGTCGGGGACGGTGTACGCTGATAGTGTGAAGAAGAAGAGGAAGAAGAAGATGAACAAGCACAAGTACAGGAAGCTGAGGAAGCGTCTTAGAGACAGACTTAGGTTTGATTGTTCCAGTTTTTTAATGTTTAAGTTTTCCATTTTATTGAAAAGTTCAATCCTGGAGTGAAGAGATTATTCAAAGCATAAATCGGTTTTTTTTATGTTACTTTTATTGGTTATAATGTTCAATTTTGCACTCTAATTTTGCAGCTGTGTAACAAACAACATTTTCTTTCAAAGAGAACAATTTTTTTTTTCTTTTGGTATCGGAATAATGTTTTGTTTGAAATGAAATTTATCACATAGTTGACTTACATTGCTTGATTAAAAGTAGGTGTTTGTGTATAAAATGCCTGCTTTAAGTATTTTAGGTTGGATACTATCATGATGTGTTTTGTGTTAGGGAATAGTGCGGGCATGTGGGATTTGAAAGCACAGTCCTTCTTCTTAGTCAACATGCGAGTAGGGTTGATGCTTCCTTATCTAAATATAATTACAATTTGCTAATAATTTCTCACATCCTTTCTGGCAGTTACTAGTTCGTTTCTAAGATAATCTGTGTATTAAACCTACAAACTGTTTCATCTCTGGTATTGTGGTTAAATGCTGGTTGCATTTTTTACTTCTGATTACCATGTAATTGTGTGCTCCATGGTACTATACTCTCAGGTGTGGAATGGAATTACAAACTTAAACTATCACATGAAAGAGTTGATAAAGTCGCATTCTATTTTATTTACTGCCAAGTGAATTCTCTAAAATAAAATTCTGCAAACCCTTGCATGCAGGAGTCTAAGTCTTATTAGTTGATTTTAAGAAAGTGTGGATGCCCCAACTTGAGATGTATATATAACATATATTAAAGTATTTGATAAGGCCAAGGGTTGGGCTTTGTGGTAAAAGCCTTTGGTTTTACTTTTAACCAAGTAGTCAGAGTTCATTTCTTCTTCTTTTTTCTGTCTTCAACATGCATTTCCTTAGCTTCTTCTAATAGAAGAGTGAATTGTGATGAGGTCTAGTGCCTTCTTTAGAAAATTAAAAACTTTCTATCCTTTTAGTGACTCCTATTTGTTTAACGATTCTGCAATATTGGCTTGACTAGAAATAGGAATAGTATAAAAAACTCAGTGTATAATTGTGGTTCACATTGCCATTAAGAATTCTTGTGAGTGCATCTTACATACCCATTGCGGAGCAGGAAATTAACTAGGGAGACTACCGGGCAGATACTACACGAAACCTTAGGTCCAACTTCAGATCATTGTTGAGGGTCTACTCATGGAAGGTTACTTGTTTATATATACATATATATTTGTGTGTGTGTCCGTACGCATATGTGTATTCTCTTTGTGGATCAGTGGTATACCTGTCTATAGAACACATGTTTGTATTACATAAAATCAGTATTGCTGACAGGTGTCCTCTACTCTTGCCTTTATTTTTTATTATTGCTACATATTCTGATGAAGAATATTGAAGCAAAATCAAGCAATAGCAGCATTATGGCTATTAAGGATGCTAGTAATGGTTCTTCACTTTGGAATCTTTGGATCTGCTGTTTCAAGATAAGACTCTACTTTGTGAAGACATGGGAATTTTTCGTTGTCCTGATACCAGTAATGTTATATTTTATGAAAAAATGTGAAATAAAAAGGAGTTGTTGTCTGACTAGAGAGATCACTTTGCTATATAACTGTCCCCTGCTTGTCAATAAGCAAAAGGCTCTGTTGATGAGTGTAGTCACTTCATCCATTAGACTAGCTTTAGAGTGATTAAGTGGGTTAGTATGCAATAATGTGCAGTGAATTCTAGTTTTAGTTCAAAAATAATGAGTACGAATCTGTTTTAATTTGAAAGTATCAGCGGATCCTTCAGAATCTATGGGTGCTGTGATAATTTGGGAACTAAGATGGGATACGGAGCGTATTTGTGATCTTGCACCAAGAGTATGAAATGGATTGAAGAAGCATTTCCATCCAGATAGGATGCAGTAAAAGTAAATAATCTTTACAGTGGAACAGTAATGTAAGGGATGAGAGTTCAAGAGGAAGTCAATTGAAAATGCTGCTGGTGAAGTGGGCTATGTCTTACGAAAAGGAGGGAAAGTTCTATTGAGTTTTATGTAAATATTTGCCATGTCGGTACGCCTGTAAGACAACTTGTTCAGCTTGCATTATGCCAGGGAAGCATGGTCGAACAATCCATATACTTTATTTAACGTCACCGAGGTCTTTGTGACTATGTTGCTATATATAAGATTTCCTTCTTTTTCTTTTTTTCTCTTGATTTAAGTCCCACTGGTCTGCATGAAGAGTACAGCCTCTCTTATTAATAATCAAGTCAAAATTACTCACGCTTGATGTTGACCAGGCACCACACTACCCAACTGGCCACCCTCAAATTATTGGTAGCTCTGCAGGATTTTGGTCATGGCAAAGAATTTTGAAAATTTGTACTCTTCTGCTGTATCTTAGAGCGGGCATCTTTGGCTGCCATATGTTATTGGGCATAAAATGAACTACTGAACATGATACATTTGATCCTACAGGGAGCATGCTCTGAGGAATTAGACCCTCAGAAATCTGAACAGTTTCTACTTTGGTAAGATGGTCCTCCTATTAAAGTTGACCGGTAGACCTTTTCAGAGGTTTGATTTGCTTGTGGCTCGATGAATTTACCTTGTGTTTGTACGATGAGAATTGGGAAGACGATTGGCATCTTCCCTGACAAAGACGGGAGCAGGAACAGTCTTTGGACTCCCTGTTGCCGCATTTCTGAATAAATTTACCTTGCTTCTTCTTACTAGAACTAGGAACCACAAAAAATTTGAAGTTTAGAACTTAAAATTCTGAGAGTCATTGTTTAACATCTCTGCTGCAGACAAGGGACATATCTCATCATCACATTTTAATAACAAGAAGATAGAGCTAAGTTTAGTGAGACCCACCTCTTTCTTTCTTTTTCATTTGCTTAATATTATGAACCCCATCATGATACAAACATCCCCTATATTCTGTTTCTGGTTTCATATTTCCTAATCTTTTCAATTTTATCAATTGCAATTAAGTCATTGAGTCTTTGTAATGTGACCTTGATTCCAATCTCATGCCTGACATTTGGGTCCAGAAGGTGTGGTTGATATGTTGCATTTGTTGCTTGTAGGGCAAGGCCTCCCATTACTCTGTCCCACTTGCAGCATTTCTAGACCAGAACATTAATGTGGTTAGTTTTGACCAAATCACGATTTAGTATGAGCCGTCCTGCTTTAGAGATTTTGTCATCAAAACTTTTTCGCTCTGATTATCAGGGGGGGATCTTATAAAAACAGGAGTTTTTATCGCTTGGCTCATGATGATTTTGAAATCAAATCATCTGGATTTGTTTGCATTTTACTTGTCATCTAATAAGAATAGAATCATTGTAATAACTACAAATGTGTATTGATCTTGAACAGATCAGCAAATATATATTGAATGTTTATCCATACATTGATTTGTGTTTGATTTATCTCAATGGTTTTGGTACTGTGAGACATGACAAATAATAATATAATAATTCATAGTGTACTTTAACATTGGGTTAAAGTGATTTTTGAGCACTTTAACCCAAGAACTCAAGTCTTTATTCTTTAGCCATTGTTATACCTTTCTAGGCAAGACCAGTGATCAGAATGACCTTTCTTGGGGGAGTCACGGCCACCTATTCATCTTTGATCTTTCGTTGATTTGAAGAATGCACGTGGTGAGCATAAGGTGTGAGTGATGGCCACGAGAACGAGATACATAGGGATTGGAGTGAGTGATGAAATAGGGAGATTGATTTTGTAAAAAAATTCCAATCACTAGCAATAATGCCCTTTAATGGAAAAGCCTTCGATCCCATGTGATTGTTCTCCTATTGCCTTGAAATTTCCATTTGTTTAGCCCACGCCAAAACAAGATTGATGGAAATCAGTAGGTTAAAACCATGGTAGAAACTGAAAAGGGAGAGGTTAAAACTTAAAAAGCTTAAAACCTTTTTAAAGCCCTTGGCCAGGGTCATACCTTAAAAGCTTAGAAATGTTTTGTCTGCCTTGAACATACATTTTGTATTGTTTATCCAGAGTCATTTACAAACAAAAATATTTGCGTGGTTCTAGATTAACTAATAAAAAATAATTGTAATGAAAATATATCTCTTTTTCTTGAAATGAACATATGCCTAAAGCAAAGCGCCAAAGAAACTGTTTAAAAAATCTGCAAGAGTGATGGTGATTGTGAGGATGAGGAATAAAAAGTTGGGCTTGATTCCATACTTACAGTTATGAGTAGAGTTGATGCATAGTTACTGTACAAAATTCTACTCCCAAGTTTTCAAGAGCTCATTAGAATACTATATTTGGTCAAGCAAAATCATCTATCATCCATAAATTCACAAAAATGATTTATTCATCCGGGTATTTGGGTTTTGGACACGCAAGCATTCTCTTCGGCCTGGTTTGGCCCTTTGAATTAAAAAAAAATATTATAATTATATAAAGTTGTAAATGAACAGAATGTTCCCTTCTCATCTCTGGAAACAGAGGTGGGCCTTCTTATTATTATTATTTTTTTTCTTTTCTTAGTTTTGATTTTAAAAAAAAAAAATGTGGGTGCCAAATGGGTTTGTTGGTTTTTAATCAATTTAGATATTGAAACAAGATGAAGGTGGGATTGAAAGTTGAAGATCCCCTATATCTCAAATTGGATTGGGATTTAGTGAATAAGAAGTTTGGATCAACATGATGAAATTAAGAGAAAAACATTAAATGATGAGGTTGATGGAAAATGGTTAATGAATCCTGAAGTCACATTTCTTCAACTTTATTCACATGGAGTTGATATAGAGTTAGGTACTAGTACGCTACTACACTACACCCCAACAATTTGATATGAAAATTTTTCTGTCCAATTTACATGTCCCTACACATCATGTGGCTTTTTCTCTGGTTGTGACCAAACCCAAAGTTAAAAACAAAGTAAAACACAACACAACACAACACACTCACACTCTTGACTCTTCTCTTTTTCTCTCTCAAGCCACCTTATTAATTAACCACTAGAAGGACAAAATCCTCTCTCTCTCTCTCTCCCACTTTCTATCTCCTCTTCTCCCCCTAAACAGTTTAAGGTTCTGGAAAAAAGAATAAAAGAAAAGGGAAAATAAATAAATAAAATAATTTAAGGAAAGAATGTTGATCTGAATAGTTCAGAACCCAAAACCCAAAAAACTATTATCCTCTCTAGAGAAAGAATAAAACACACAAAAGAGAGCAAAAAACAGAGCAAGAGACAGAAATGGGTGGAGTTACTTCATCAATGGCGGCAAAGTTTGCTTTTTTTCCGCCCAACCCACCTTCATACAAGCTCATCACTGATGACCTTACTGGTCTCTTGCTTCTCAGTCCGTTTCCACACCGGGAAAATGTTGAAATCCTTAAGTTACCAACTAGAAAAGGCACTGAGATAGTGGCAATGTATATAAGGCACCCCATGGCTAGCTCAACATTGTTGTATTCTCATGGAAACGCTGCCGATCTGGGTCAGATGTATGAGCTCTTCATCGAATTAAGCATCCACTTGAGGGTTAATCTCATGGGGTACTCTGTTTTTATTCTGTTTTACTCATTTTTACTCTGTTTTTTTGTGTTTCCTTTTGTGCAATTCTGTGATTTTGGCTGTCTTAACATTTTTTGTTTTGGGAACCTTGATGTTTTTGTTGATTTGTACTGATTTGTCAGTTCTGGCATCTGGGTTTTTGGTGTTTCTAGTAGATAAGCTTTGTTTAGTTGGAATTTTGGAGTGATTATGGTTATTCCTTTCTTTTTGGTTTACAAGACATCTAGATTTACTGATTTTAGCTGGGATTAATGTAAATTGGCTGAATATGGAAGTTTTTTCTTAGTTTTATTGGTGGCTATGTTATGATCCTCTTTAGCATCCTGGTTCAACTAGAAAGTTCTGAAGTACTTTGGTATAAATATTTAGTTGTAGATTATTGGTAGGTCACTTGATATAATGAAGATGGAAATTTGCTAGGCTGCTGAGGTTTGATCTCATAATATGAGACTAGATTGAAAGGATAAGATAAGCATGTTTATGCTGATCATATTTTCAGTTTAATAGGTTCACCAGGCTATTCATCTCCAACGATTATGAATGCTTCTGTTTTGGAGATAAACCTCCGTATGCATATTTTAGTTTGATAATTGTTAATGGTTTTCGGATACAGAAACAAATATTCAATTATTCAAATGGTGATTAATCAAGCATAAAATGAGCAGCTCTCTTATTTGCTTATGTGTCTGTGTGCAGATATGACTATTCTGGATATGGGCAATCAACTGGAAAGGTTTGTTACTGATTTTTAATTAAAAAACTAATACAAAAAATTATTATTTGATTTATGTGGCAATAATAGTTGAGTGTTAAAAGGATCATCTAAATTTCATAGCTTTCCTAAATTGCAGCCTAGTGAGCAACACACATATGCAGATATTGAAGCTGCATATAAGTGTCTTGAGGAAAGTTATGGTACGAAGCAGGAAGATATCATCCTTTATGGCCAATCTGTTGGAAGTGGCCCGACTTTGGATCTTGCCGCTCGATTGCCTCAGTTAAAGGCCGTTGTTCTGCACAGTCCCATACTTTCCGGCTTAAGAGTCATGTATCCTGTAAAGCGTTCATACTGGTTTGACATTTATAAGGTAACATGACTCTTCTTTTGGTCTCTTTCCCATATGCATTCTATTTAATTGATAAATGAATTATTTTCTCATTAAACTTGTATGTTATCTCTTCTTTGTTTGTTTGCAGAATATTGACAAGATTCCACTTGTAAATTGTCCCGTTCTTATCATTCATGTAAGTAAGCTATTCTATAATATTTTCTACCCAATGTTATATATGTTTGAGTCTTCTGGACATACGAATGACATTTTCCGTTTTCATCTTTACAGCCCCACATATTTCTATATAATATTTTGAATTTATATATAAATTAAACGTGCACTTAATTTAATTTCTCATGGATTTTTCACCATTCATGTTCTTGTGTGGCAGTCTTTGTATGGGTTCAGCGCGAAATCAGTAGATGCAAACCGCTGATGGCATTACCTTGTCGTTTCCTTTTGAATATTAAATAGCTTTTCATAGGCTGTCATAAGTTTCTTCCATGTAGCAGTGTCTTAGGAGTCCAGTTCTTTTCAATCAAGTCTAATGCTCTAGACCTGGAGTGGACTTTTGGGCCATGCAAGTGTCTCAAATCCAAACGAGGAGATAGCCGTCATTTTGGTCTCTTGTAATTGTCAGTTTTGGAGGATTTTTGAAGTTCTGAGAATGGAAATAGTTACAGCCTTAAACCCAAAAAAAAATGGTGTAGAGGTGAACAAAGGATGATTTAGAAGGTGCATAGTTGACCTTTATTTAGATATTACTTAGTTTCTCCAGAGTGAATTATTGGAGTAAAGAGCAAAACTTCGGGTTTTACCTATTTAGATTATTTTAAAAGAAAAAAACAAGTACTGAAGTAGTATTGACAAATTAGAGCAGACTATTAAGCGCTTCCAAAAGAAAAAAAAAAAAAAAATATATATATATATATATACATCATGAATGTGTTTGCAGTGGATAGAGATAGCGTCAGTGAAGCCCGTGATCCCTGGATGGGATTCCTATGCTTTTTGTTTGTACTCAGAGAAATTATGCTTTATGCTGACCTCAATGAATATTATATATGTCAAGTGCTGGCATATGCATTTGATCAGAACTTGTCTTCTTTTGATTTCTTATAGAGATATTTGGTATGTCGTAGCATAGTCAACCATTTTATAATTGCATTAGGTAAGAATGCTGATGTCTTTAGTTTTAGTTTTTAGGTTTTAATTGCTTAACCAATAATTAACTTTTTCATAGAACCAGTTTATCTTCTCCAGTCTTATATTTGTACTTATGTTGGTGACATCATTCCTCACTAAGTTGGGATGAACAGTAGAATGGCTGACCAGCTCCCTGGAACAATAGTTTTTGTTTCCTTATTAGAACACAAGCATCACTAGTGTTCTGGACTTTGGAGATCATAATTTGAAGAATCAAAAGAGTCGAAGAAATAAGTCTTAAATAGTATTTGTAAAAGCTATTAGTGTTTTTTTATTTGTTAAAATCCCTCAGATGTTCTGATCATAATACTATGTCATTTTATCTTTCACAATTGAGTATTTCATATTATTTTATAGGGAACTTCAGATGAAGTTGTTGATTGCTCCCATGGAAAGCAACTCTGGGAACTGTGTAAAGAGAAATATGAACCACTTTGGCTCAAAGGAGGGAGCCACTGTGATTTAGAGCACTATCCTGAGTACATCAGGCATCTCAAGAAATTCATATCAACTGTAGAGAAATCTCCTTCCCAGAGATACAGTTCCAGGAGAAGCACAGACCACTTCGAGCAGGCTCGGAAGAGTACTGATTTCTTTGAAGTTTCAAGGAAGAGCACAGACCGGCGAGAGAAGCCAAGACCAAGCACCGAGAGACCTGAAAAACTGAAAAACCATTCCAACAATGCTGACAAGCTAGAAAAACTGAGAATGTCTTTCGACCAAATGGAAAGATCTCGGAGGAGTGTGGATTGTCACGAGAAATCACGAAAAAGCATCGACCACCAGTTGGAAAGAGCTCGAAAAAGTGTTGACCGGTTGGACAGAATACGAAATGGGTAATACAACTAGAAGAACAAAGAAATTTGCAGTGATTTGGTGTTGTGGGGAATGTATTTTGCTTCTCTTTTTAATTTATTTATTATGATTTTGTGGCTGTGTAGTTGGCTTGTGGTATCTCTATAATAACAATGGCATGAAATGAGAAAAAGGGTATGGTGTTATAATGAGGTAAACTTAGCTGCCTGTAAACCCATGTTCTCATTGTTTCACAAACACTTAAGTGAAGTATAGAAAGGACCACTTGGAAAGAGAACTGCCGCAGTTGGCTTCTTTTAACTTTTAAGTAGGGGGTGTTCAAAAGCGGTTAACCGGTTCGGTAAACCGCTTTTCTAAAACGAACTAGTTTTCGTTTAGGAAAATTCTCGAACCAAAACTGAACCGGTTTAGGGGGAAAAACGGTTTTTGTCGGTAACCGAAAACTGGTAAACCGTTTCTGGTTTTTTCCTTTTTTATTGGATAAAACTTTTTTTTTCCTAAATTAAATTGTAAACATAACAAGTACGTTTTTCAAAATGGTCAACCGCTTTTTTGAGCCAAACTGGTTTTTCGGTTCGGGAAAATTCCCAAACCGAAATCGAACCGGTTAACCGTTTTCCCTTTTTTTTATATAACTTTTTTTTTTAATTTTTTTCCCAAATAAAATTGTAATATATAATATATATACTAAATAAAATTAAATATTCATACATATCCATTGACCATTACTAATAATACATTAAAAATTGATACAAATAAAAGTTCGAAATGAAAATTTTTTTCATTTAATATTAATTATAATATATATTTTTATTTTTATTTAATATATATATATATTATATTAATATATATATATATTATTATAACCGGTTCAAAAAACCGGTTTTGGTTAACGCCTTTTTTTTTTTTCCTGAACCGAAAATCCGATTTTTTGAATTTTTCAAACCGTAACCAAACCGTTTTTCGGTTCAGTTCGGTTTTTGTATTTTTTTTAACACTCCTATAAACAATACATATTCAAATAAAAATTAAAAATTCATACATATTAAAAATTAATAATATATATCTTTATTTTTATTTTATATATATATATATAATGATGCTAGCTTACTCACGAGCTTACTAACCGCTTTACTATCTTTGTTAAAATTACATATGGTACCCGTACTATGCGTTATATTTACAAAGGATAGTAAGATGGTTAGTAAGATCGTAAGCAAGCATAACATTACTATATATATATAGTAAAATATCTCTATAGTGATACTTTATATAAGAATAAACTCTATATAATCATAAAAAAATTTATTCTCAATTTGGGATAGTTATAAATAAGAATAAACTCCACATTGTAATAAGTTATAATTTTTTTAATTTCCGTCTTAAGGAAAGTTACTTCCACATAATAATAATTATCTGTATATTGAAAAAAAAAATATGCTAACTTACATTAAAAATTTAAGATGAAATAAAATATTTATTTAAAGTTGTTTGGATGAATGATTTATGTTTTAGAGTTGTTACCATATCTCTTAACTTACGAGTACATTACCCGCTAGTATGAACATTTTCTTGTTGAAATCAAAATATTTCTAGCTTCTCAAGCATGTTTAGAGCTTATTGGCATGAAACTTTTTATATTTCCCTATTATCATTCTCATGGTTATTTCCTTTCTCTTCTTGTCTAATTGTAACAATGATTTTTTCTTCAGTTAAAGTATACATGACTTGTTACTCATTTGGATGATTGATAAAGATATTAATATCAATTCGATTAGTGTAGTGAAGTTGTCAAATCTGATCACTAAAGTCTACTATGATTTTTTTATTCTCCTTATTAACTTTATTTGTAACTTGCAATTAATCGACATCGAGGGTCATAATTTTGTAATGTTTAAAACAATTGGCAATTGTCTATGACTTCACATTAATTTGACCATGTAGCAATTACATTTACAATTTCATCAAGGACATTGATCTTTATTGGTTTCAAGATACAATATTCTATCTGTTTCAAAAGTAAGCAATTGAAATATTGAATTGAAATCCTAATACTGTTAAAACATTAATTGAAATCTTAAAACTTTACTACAAAAATATGAATTATAAAATAAAAAATTTTTATAACTACATTTCTATTAAGTTATAACCTCTTTATAATAATAAAATTAGTTAGTCCCACCATTATGACTATGGAGAGGTTTTACTATATATGGTTAAAAAAACCGATTTCAGTTAATCGGTTTTAATTTTTTTTCGAACCGATAACCGAATCAAATATTTGGTTTTTAAAATTTTTTGAACTATAACTAAACCGTTTTTTTAGCTAACCGATTTTTCAGTTCAATTGGGTTTTTGTATTTTTTTTTTTTTTTTTAACTCTCTTAGTTTTATGGCATGTTTAATTACCCATCAAGGATAAGCAGAATGGATAGCCGTGGCCCCGGTGCCCCGGCAAAAGAGAAACTTATTGGATCCTGGTCCATTTTGTTGTATGTGAGGCTTATGTCTCAAGCATGCATGAATATGACTTGTATTCAAGTACCTGCACAGTTTAAAGTGTGCTCAAAGGACCAAAACAGTCAACAGTTGCTACATGAATGTCGGCCACCAGTGGGAATATAATCAACAAGAAAAAATGTGAAGTTGCCACATGTCACAGCCAAACTTTTTTTATCAAACAATTTGAAATCTGGTTTCACTTGTTGGTCTAAAATATTGAAAGTTATAGTCTTACTGAAAGGGTTTCTCAATAAATTCACTTACAATCTTCTGAAACATTGAACACTATTCATGAGTAAAACTTGTATCTTTATTACATGACTTTATAATTCATTGGGGTTTTTCAACATCTGATGATCATTATGCATTCTGCTTGGCATGTTATATATCATATTTTTCTTCTAAGCAACAAAAGAAAACACTCGAAACAGTAGAAGGCGTATACTTTTAACTGCCTTGAACTGGAAAAACTATTACAGGCTGCATTTCAATCCTGATTATCCATAATCACCACAGAGCCAAACATTGCATAAGTTAGCAGTCCAGAGTTTTACCTAGTCTTCTCTTCTGTCGGTGACATGCAACCAAGGAAAAGCTAGCTACTTCTGAGAACTATACCTGAAATATGTAAGATACATAAGCACACTTTCATTCTTGGAAGAGTCAATAGTACTGAATAGAGCTTTCCACTATAGACAATCTGGGTTTGCGCTCGCTGTGTTCAACTATGGCTGACGGTGGAAGATGACCAACGCAGATCTCATGCACTGTGGTAAATAGTGGAAACAGCTCTAGCCATCCCCGATGGCTCAACACTTCATAAACCTCTCTTGCCGTCGAGACGCCCTTTGCATTAATGTAAAAGGTCAGAATTATGGTGACAATAACTTCTTTTGGAACAGTTTTCAGTCTTACATAGTTCACATGATTGTAGAGACTGATATGAATTTATTGCTAATTGAATAAGTTACTGTCAGTTTTCCTATTACTAAAACACTCGCTCAGCAAAAACAACCAGTCTTTTATTGTTTGAAGATGCTTGTATAGTCTATTTGCCATTATGTAGTCATTCTTTTTTGTCACAAGAACTACATATAGAAGTGTTAAATGTTTCACTCAGTTAGCTGATATATCAAACTCATTAGCTTTCCCTGTATAATAATTAGACTTGTAAACATCTACCTGCAATTTCTGGCCCTGCAGCATCTCTGCTTCAAGATCATCAAAAGACCTGCAGGTGAGCCACAGCAAGGTCAAAATCAATCACTCAAAAATCTACACAAGTAATTCGACGTATGATTAAGGTTAACCTTTTTCCTCCATTCTTGGCAAAAGCCTCCGCAACTTTTCTGTTTCTTCCTCCCACTGCCACAAACGATATATTCATTATCAAAGCAAAATTTTACTCAAAGGACAAGGAAGGCATTGATATGCTTCCTTACAACATGTTGTGATGAGATCAGCCACACCACAGCTCTCAAAAAAGGTGCTGTCCTTAACAGATGAAAACAACAGCTTGGAGAAGGCTTTCATCTCTCTTAGACCAATTCTCATTATTGCGGCCTAGAAATTCACATGAATAACCAAGATTAGAAAGAAAGAAATGCAAGCAATGTGTCTAGACCTTACCATAATTATTTGCATATACCTTAGTGTTATTTCCCATTTCAAGGCCATCCACGAAACCTGCCATGTTAACAGTTAATTTGACCAAGGGACACCTGATGTCGTACCAGGAAAAAAAAGGGCTAAAAAATAAAATGGAACAAGAAGAAAATTACTGCAAACCTGCAGCAATGGCTACAACATTCTTCAAGGTCCCACATAGTTCAACTCCTTCCACGTCTTGGACCTATTTACAAATTCAATACAATAGTTAAAACCAAATTGTTTCTTTCAGTTTGGTACACAATAGTAGCTGCATAACTTAAAATGTGTTGGCCTATCATCATTTCCTGTTACACACTACTTAGATCAGTTTAGCTAAAAACTAGTTCATTGGATCAACAATAACCAACAAACAAGCATATTTTTTGCACTTACAGCAGTGACAATAAAATAAGGAGTGCTAAATAATTTAACCCATTGCTCTGCAATCTCTATGTTCTCTCTGTATCCAACTGTCGCTTCACTGAACTTTTCAACAGCAATCTGCACAAGCAGCCTCCATTTCAACCACTAGGGATAAGGCCTAACAAGTGAACCTCTTATTGAGAAAAACAGGTTCTAAAATTAAATAATTACCTCATTTGCAATGTTAGCTCCCATCAACACACAGCAATTTACACCAAGCTGCTCAGAGATTAGCGTGGAAATCATGCATGGGCCTTCCCTTTTGACCTCCATTCCTTTAATGAGGGAAATTGCTTCCACATCTCCATTTACCTTCCCAACAAGCCTTTTGCAAATACCCTCCATAAATTGATGTGGAGTCACAAATACTAACATGTTTGCATCCTTAACTGCAGTACCCAGTTATAATCACCATTAGACTTTAAAGAAGAATGTTGTCGTTTTTACATTTACAAATGTGAAAATAAATACCTGCATTTTCTAGGTCAGGATCTGCAACAACATTTTTGCCAAGCTTAATTCCAGGGAGATATTTAACATTTTCCTGTGAAAGAAATTTAACATAACAGCAAACTAAGAAATAGTGAAACAAATATATTTAACCAAGTAAAAACAATCATTAGCTTGTTACATTGGTTCGATTGATGACATCTGTAAGCTTCTCACCACTGGGCAACGTCTCTTCAAAAACCCACATCCTCACTTCATCTGAAATTCAATAAAAACATTCAAATTCTCAGCATGCATTTCTATTTAAACCTCCATTAGATTGCTTACCAGCATTAAAAATTTAGAAAAAAAAAAAATAGAATAAACAAGCATTCAATAAAATCACAAGATTTCATAGTCATACTTCTCTTCCATTTTTACAAAATGTTCTAAGCAACCACATGCAAGATTAGTGCTGTTTTACACAAACTTGATTAAAAAAAAAAAAAACAAAAACTTTCTGAGTGTCATCAATCTATACTCCCACATGAAAGACAAAACAAAAAGAAAGAGTTTGAACACACCATGAAAAGAACTGAGCTTGAGGGTGTTAGAAGCAATGAGCTTAGCAGCAACACTACCCCAATTGCCACTACCCACCACCGTAACCTTAGATTTCCGTGACACATCATCAGGGTTTGAATAACGTTGAGGTGAAGAAGAACTTTGAGTCAGCCCCTCAAGAACGTTAGGATCTTCAAAGGCAGGCGCCATGAAAAGAGCAAGAGAAATAGAGGACAGGAAAGAAAATTTAGAACGGTTGATAGTTTTGGTGCAAAAATGAGAATGAGAGGAGCAGGGAGAAGAAGAAAACAGTAAATATAAGGAAGAGGGTAGATGCATAGGGGCGGACTTGACAGACACGTCGCGTTACAAACTATATGAATAATTGTGTATCGTGTTATATGTGGCGATCTCCTCTATGTTCTTTCTTTATTTAGGGGCGTTTGATGGGAGGTAACGTAACATTAATTTTGGTTATATTATTTTATATCACTTAATTATTATATTTAGATATCAAATAATATAAGATTTTGGTAATATTGTATTATTAATAGTTATTATTTTTAATAATATTAGAGATAATTTAATTACTTCTACTTTCTTAGGTATTGTAAGATTACCAAAGTAATCTTATTTTTGTTACAATTTTATCTTTTATTAATAAAAATTTTGGATAATAATATCCCTGTTTTAAAATCAATTTACATTAATATATCATTTCAATTTTACCCTTTTTTAATTAAGTTTTTTGACAATAATATCCTTATATTTAAAACAAATTACGTATCACCACCGCCACCTAGCCACCACCGTCGAAGCGGGCCAACCACCACGAACCATCATCGAAAAGTCTTCGGAGTCCCTAAAAATAATTGAGAGTTGCTAGGAGGCTCCAAGAGGCTTCGATATGGCCGTTTCTGGCCATATTGATGGCCGAGAATGACCATATCAGGCTGGATTTGGTCGAAAATTACCATAATATATTTGTTTATTTCCAACCAGATCTGGCCTTATATGACAGTTTTCAGCCATCAATATGGCCAAAAATGGTCATATCGGAGCCTCACAGTCACCGTGAGCTACTCACGATGACTTTCGATGACTTCCAACGGTGGTTTACAGTGGTAACAGGCAACGGCAGGGGGTGGGGGTGATTTTGTCATAAATTAAAGTTTTATATAAGCGAGGGTGTTTTAGCTACATTTGAAATATTGGGGGTTAAAAAAACTGTTCAAAATTTAATAATAAAAATAATATTATATTAATATTTAAAAAGATGACAATTTACTAATTTAAATAACATATCTATCAATTTATTTCCCTTAACCAAACATATTAATATAAAATACCCACCAACTAACCAAACACTTTTTTCTAAAGATTTCTAGTAATCTTTAAAGTAATATAAGATTCCAGTAATCTAACATTTCCAATAATTCAACATTTCTCTTATGCCTCTTATTCTTCATTTATTACATAACCACCTTAATTTCTTGATTCTATTTATTCATCAATAATTCGCCGTTGAGTTCCTGTCCTAATCTATGTTCCACCTCCATTGATGCAAATCCAAATTACTCGTTTTATAAACGAACCTTGTTTATTTTACATCAATGTCATATGGTTGCCAATTCAATTACTGAACATTCCAACCAATCATTTAAAAGAAAAAAAAAAAAACTAATAATTTCTTCTAATTTTAACATAATTATTAGAAAACCTTTAAGATTATAAAAAAATCTCCTTATAAAACATAAAAAATAGGTTTGTGTATGGATTATACATAGAAGTCATTAATGATATACCAAACACGCATAATTGTAGGGAAAATTGTTCACGTTTGTTTTAAGTTAATTAAATTTCCTTCCATTAATAAGATGAATAAGTGAAAGCTGAAGTATTTATGGGCATACATGTATTTTAGTTTATGAAATAATTTTACATGAATATATTTAGTGTTTATTAATTATGTGATTGTTTAATTTTTTTTTTTTTATACAAAAGTTCATTAAAAATATTTATCTTCAAATGAAAAATTAATGTGTTTTTCTCTTTTCATGGTGGTTCAAGTACGTAAAATTATAATCCCGTTAATATCATTTTTATCAGTATACCTTTTTTTTTAATTAAAAAAAAAAATCAAGAACACAAACAGTCTCTTTAATCACTGGTTTCGATTAGTAATTTGAAATGAAAGAATAATAAAATAATTAATTTAGATTAATGGTCGAAATGAATAAAAGCTGTTGTCGTAGATGGGCCATTTAAATTAATAGGCCCAATGGGCGTATTAATTGAAACACTAGGCCCAACCTACAATTGTTTAGTGTACAAACTTTATATATACAATGAAACTTATGTTCACCACCTTTATTTTTCTAAAATCTTGTAAAATGGACCATTAATTACACATTGTCTTAAGGGGGCATTCGGTTTGGGGTAATATGAGATTACTAGAGTTATGTCATCTTATATTACTTAATTATCACGTTTGGTTGTTAAGTAATATAAGATTCTGATAATTTTTAAATACAAATAATAGTTACCATTAGTAATATTGGAGGTAATATAATTACCTCCATTTTCTTAGGTATTCTAAGATTATTAGGGTAATTTTTTTTTGTTACAATTCTATCCCTTATTAATAAAATTTTAGGACAATAATGCCCTTATTTTTAAATTTATTTACATGAATATGGCTTTTACTATTTCACCCCAATTAATTAAATTTTTAGACAAAATTACCCTTGAATTCAAAACAAATTGCAGCCCACCCAAGCCACCACCCCCACCCACCGCCATAGAACTGCGCATAGAAGGCCGAAAATGGTTGTCATGTGTCGATATGGCCATTTCCGATCAGATATCTGGGTGGAGATGGCTAGATCGTAACAGATCTGGCTGTTGACGGTCAGATCGATAATGACCATGTCGGTGCCAAAAATGGCCATACGGCGCACAGATGCCATTTCCTACCTTCCGTGTGCCGTTAGGTTGTCGGCTGTCAGTGGCCTGCTGTGGTTTTCAATGACCGACAATGGCTGGGTTTGTGGGGGTGCTTTGTTGATTTTTCAAACTTTTATTATGGTGTTGTTTTTGCTAAGTTTTTAAATGTTGGGGGTTATATTATCCAAATAATAATCAATATTAAAAAATAATATAATAATAATATTTAATTAGAGGACAATTCAGTAATTTAAATAACATACCCACTAATTTATTCATCCCAACCAAACATATTAATATAACATACCCACAACTAACCAAACACATTTTCCTAAATATTTCTAATAATCTTCAAGATAATCTAACTTTTCAGTAATTAAACATTCTCTGAACTAAATGCATCCTAAATATTTTGGATAACATAACATAATCAACCATAACCCACGAAAGATGATATTCAATCAAGTATCCGCCATGTCTCACTGGGTCACAAATTGATTTAACTTCTACTCTCAGCATAATCTAATATAGAGTATATAAAATAGGAATAATATTATGCACACAAACTTTTCTTACTAACTTTTTCTCACAAACGCGACGTAGTAGCTCGGAATGAATCCCACCAATCTAACAATGAGTCATATCTGACCAATTACAAACTATCACATCGTGTTTGTGAGAGAAATATAATGAGAATGGTTTGTCAACCTATCTTTATTGATAAAATAACAGTAAAATTTCTCACGCTCATGCGTAGTCTACAAAATTTAGGAGAGAGTGATTTCCCTATTCAATTTCAAGCAGTGTTAACACTTTGATTTTTAACTTTCTAAAACAAATCACCAACTTGGGTTTTATACAGCAATTTCAGTTGGGAGCAACTTCAGGGATGTTTTTAAGTTTGGCTCGAGTACTGAAAAGAACGTTTTTCAGGATTCTGGTTTTTAAGTGTTATCTATCAAGTTGTAAGAACTGATCGTGTGATATTCTCCTTGATTTTAGAAGCTAACACTTATCCATGATTTAGAAGGTCCTATGATTCTTGGCATGATTGATAAGCTGAATCTGTTCATGTGATTTTCTCTTTGATTTTAATAGATAACACTTACCCATGATCTGGAATTAGATTATAACAACTATTTTTCTTTTCAACAAAAATGATTATGCAACAGAATATATCATCTAACATTCTCTTCATCACTGGTTTTGATTAGTAATTTGAACTGTACCAAAAAGAATTAATTTAGATTAATTAGTAAATTAATGATGGTTAAAGTTAAAAGTAGAATACGTGTTCATTTATTTGTTTGGTCGAAATGAATAAAAGCTGTTGCAGTACATGCCTCCCTCCAATGGGCCATCAAAATTAATGGCCAGATGAAGACTGTCGCCCAACCTGCAATTTTTAGTGTAAAAGAAGAAGAAAAATCTTTTTTGGGATGAAAGATGATTCTTCAATCAAATTAACATTTGATCCTCACGTATCCGCTATGTCTCTTGGGATTTACCTCTTATTGAAGTTTGATTAGATTTGACAACTTTTACTCACGCGTAATCTAAAATGGAGCATATAAAGTCGTGGTGAAATTTCTTCTTTCGGCTCTTTCTGGGTCAAACTCCATGAGTAGCCTACAAAACTAGAGGCACACCCATTCTTTAGGGGATAATGATTTGCCTATTCAATTTCATTTATTTTCCATCACAATTATACACAGAATAATATCTGAATATATAGAGTTTATTACGTTGTGTTATATGAATTTTAGCTCCCTGAAACAAAGTCCGTAAGTCACCCAGTTGGGTCAGTTTGTTCAGTGCAACTGCAACTTCATGAAGGTTTAAAAATTTGGCTCCAGTACTGGAAAGAACGTTTCAGGATTCTGGCTGTAGGAGAAGAAGCATAAATCTTCTTGCCAAGAGAAATAAGTGATGGATCTCTACCTGTTTTTGCATTATATTAATCAAATGGCCAACAACTTTAGGCAATTTATTAACATTTAACACATGCATGCCAACTTAATCACGACAAGATCAGCAAATTTACCAGTAATTATTTTTACTGAAACACAAGATTTCTCCATAAGCTAAGTCCAGAAAGCTAAAACCATACAACAGCTCAGTAAACACTTACTACAATATTATATCACGGGCACTACTTGCAGCTAGACAAAAGTGATGATCAGGGTATAAAAAGACAAAAAGAGGGGCATTTCTCAGGGTCTGGGGTCCAACTTATTGTGCACAGGTTGTCTCCGGTGTGGCCGAGAATAATCCTCAGACCACCACCCGGACACCTGCTCTTGCCCACGCTCTCCTCTTCCTTCTGCATCCCACAATTCCATCACCCCTGGCCCTGCACACAAAAATGATTAGCACTTGACTGATAATCGAACCCATGCAACAAACAGGTTTTGTTTCTACCTGGGAGAAGTGTTCTAGCACCAAATGTTTGGTCTTGGCTGAGGAAGAGGATGCAAAAGATTATCCTAATCACCAGTTTTACCTTCATTTTAGTTCTACTCCATACTCTTCATTTCTTCCACCTCCACATTTATGCTATATAGTGTATGTATATATGACCGGTTACTGCAACATGACTACAAGATATCTAATGGATAAAGATTACAGAAGGGTCCACACTAATGGAGAAAATTGGCCAAAAAAGGGAACCTATGTATCATAGGTGAACTTTGGCAACATACAAATTTTGAGAAAGTTGATTGTTGGTTGACGTGCAGAACATGCCGGGGCTTCTTTTTGTTTTTTCTAGGGCTCTTAAAAGTATCTATTTTTTCAAAAGAGAGAAAGGAGGAATAAGTTAATATATCCATCATCACATGTTCATAATCTTCAAATTTTCCATTTACACCGCTTTGTGCTTCATATGGATAGAAACCAGGTACAGGCAATCAGTCTTCAAATTATAGCGTTTCATCAATTGGCAACAACAGAAAATACTGGAATAAAAGTTTTTAAAAAAAAAAAACCAAGATATTTACCAATTACCGCGCTATTCTCTTTGGTCTTCAGGACTGCACACCCATGTTAAATGAAGCACCTAGCATCTCCCTGCTTGAAGCTATATCGCAACTAGCTTATAAGTTATTATAAGGGATATAAAGTTCATGTCAATAGAATGGCAGAGAACTTTCCTACTAGGCCTATAAATCAAATCTCTTAACTGACTTGTCAGATAATCTTCAACCATTATTCACTATTCATTGATAAGTATACCTGTTGTCCTTTCAAACACTACTCTATGAACTTACCACGAGCACCCAACCATATCTTGCTAAGTGAACCACAAGATTCAGGATATTTCAGAAGCCCCAGCTTGAAATAACTTGATGATGAAAAATGTGTTGGCTATGCGTAGGCACAGTTCCTATGAGATATGTTATGTCCAAAAATTCACACCGATATTAGCTCAACAAGTGCCTAAAATACAAAGTGAGGCCCATACCACCTCAAAAATATATTATACAAACCCTATCTTATTTTAAGATAAGGATGAATGAGAGCTTTCTATGTGTCAAAACAACTTGCAAAAACACTCATTACATTGACCTCAAAAGTGTATAAATAAACACATCTCTTCGAAAAAAGGAGGGTTAGACATATGAGAGTTAGGCACATAAGAGCTTATTTTTCTCTGTAAACAAAGTATTTCTCTATCTTTGTACGCCTTACAGACAATATCATGGAAATAGTCAGAGAATAATAAAAATAATAGTGGATGTAGGATTTGCTTTAAGCATCCGAACCACTATAAAAACCTCTCTTGTCAATCCTTTATTTATATTTCTGCAAACATATATCATCTCAACGCCATAAACATTTCTCATGAATCATTCACGTGTAATTATGATAGACCTCCCATTAATCATGTTTATCAATATAAAGGGCATAGGAGACATTTGAGGCAGTAAATGCAGGGTGTGAGGTGCCTGGTTGTTTGGAGAGTCTGTTACAGTCACGTGAGCGGGGAATCAAAGTTGTTAGTAGAGAATAGGTGGTTAAGAAGATAGTTTAAATAGAGGGGTCTGTTCTGGAGTATTATCAAAGTTTTAGGCTATTGTCATTGAGGGAGGTCCCTAGCTCCTCGAATTGCTGGGATCTATCAGTTTGGTGTTTTATACATTGTTGGCAACTCTTCTATTTTTCAGTAATATAATCTTGTTGAGACCTTATTGAGTATATTACTTTCTGTTTTAGGGATTGCTTGTGTGTTTCCTGGTTGATAGTGCAGGGAGTCTTAACAAATTGGTATCAGAGCCTCGTTGGGTAATGGTTAAATCGAAGATGGAGAACAAAATGGAAGGTTTGGAAAAGGAAATGGGGAGCGTTGAGAAGGAAATGGGAATTGTTATGGAAGAACTAGGGAGTATTAAGGGCTACATACTAGAGCTTCGTGAGTGGATGAAGTTTAAGGAGGAGAAGGATGCAAATATGAGTCGGGATAAGGGGAAAGAATCTAACGGTGAAGCTTCCAACAGTAGTGACAGTAGGGGAGTGGATAGGAACAAGGAGGGAGAGAACTCAAAGGTGAAGAAGTTGGAACTACCCATATTCAACGGGGAAGATCCTTATGGATGGACATTCAAAGCTGACCGATATTTTTCGGTGAATCAATATGGGGAGGAAGAAAAGGTGGCGGCAACCGCTGTGTGTATGGAAGGTCGTGCCTTGAACTGGTATCAGTGGGTGGAGTCTAGGGCACCCATCGGTTCTTGGATAGATTTTAAAACTGCAGTGGTGGAGAGGTTCAGACCATCATTTAAGGGCTCAGCCTATAAAGCTTTGGTAGCTCTGAAGCAGATGGGTACAATGACGGAGTATAGGGAAAATTTTGAAGGTCACGCAGCACCCTTACGTGAGGTAGGAGAAGACATTCTGATGGGGGTTTTTGCAAATGGGTTAAAGGAGGAAATAAGAGCTGAGATTCGCCTAACGAAGCCCACGTCTTTGTTTGCCTTGATGGATCAGGCCCATCGCGTGGAGGAACGAAATTGGGTTTTAGACAAAAATCAAGCCAAGTTTACTAAAGCCCAAGGAAACAAACTGGATTATTACACTCGGGTCACCCCAAGCCCAAACCCGGAACCCGATCGCCCAAATTGGTGGACTAACCCATCGCGAAATGCAGATCTAAATCCCCAATTTTCCCCAAATCGATTTCATGACAGAAATAGATTAAGCAGCGACGCGACGATGTAGAACTTCCGTGGGGATAATTTCCGGCGAATGTCCGACGTCGAGCTACAACAAAAACGAGAAAAGGGTCTCTGTTTCCATTGTGATGAGAAATATGGGCCAAATCACTACTGTCAGAGCAAATCGATCCAGGTACTATTAGTGACCGACGACGACAGGGCAGAAAACGACTACGGCAGTCCTGAACCCACCTCAGAAATATCCGACGAAGGTAATCCATTGGCCCTATCCATGCACTCAATCGTAGGGGTAACCATTGATAAAACCCTAAAATTAAAAAGGGTGATTGGAGGTATAGAGGTGATTGTTTTGGTTGACAATGGGGCTTCCCACAATTTCATTTCGCATGAATTGGTGCGAAAATTAGAGCTACCAGTGGAGAGAGGTAAATCCTTTAGGGTGATGGTGGGAAACGGATTTACAATTAGAAGAGAGGGAATTTGCAGAGGAGTGCCATTGCGAATGCAAGGTATTGAATTGTGTCAAGACTATTTTCCATTTGAGTTAGGAGGGGCAGATGTCGTGCTAGGAATTTCTTGGCTTAGTACACTGGGAGATGTTTGTGCAAATTGGAGAAATCTGACAATGGAATTTTTCAATGAAAGGAAGAAGGTGGTTCTACAAGGGGATCCATCGTTAGTCAAGACAGTGGTATCACTAAGGGCAATGCTAAAATCCTTGCAGAGAGAGGATGCGGGATATGTGGTTGAGTTATGCTCCATTGTTGTTAAGGAAGAGGAAACAGAAGAACCCATGGACCCAGCAGCCGCAGTAGTTGTTGATGGATTTAGCCACCTGTTTGAACAGCCGACTACACTCCCACCCAAGAGACCCACTGACCACACCATAGTTTTAGAAACCAATACCAAACCTCCCAACATCCACCCGTACAAATACTTATTTACCCAAAAAAATGAAATTGAAAGGTTAGTAGGTGAGATGCTGATGGCAGGTATTATACAACCCAGCACAAGTCCTTTTGCTAGTCCGGTTCTATTGGTAAAAAAAAAGGATGGCAGTTGGCGGTTTTGTGTTAATTACCGAGCACTTAATAACATCACTATTCCAGACAAATTTCCAATTCCCTCAATTGATGAGCTGTTGGATGAACTATCAGGGGCAGCCATTTTTACAAAACTGGACCTCAAATCATGTTACCACCAGATTCAGGTTAAAGAAGAGGACGTCCCCAAAACAGCATTTAGAACCCACGAAGGGCACTATGAGTTCCTGGTCATGCCCTTCGGGTTGACCAATACCCCTTCCACTTTTCAAGCTTTAATGAACACTATTTTTAAATCAGTCTTGCGGAAGTTTATACTTGTATTCTTTGACGATATTTTGATTTACAGCCCTGATTTGAAGACCCATCTGCCGCACATGCAACACACCTTTTAGATTCTCACCAAGCACGAATTGGTTATCAATTACAAGAAGTGTCTATTTGCCTGTCAACGTTTGGAGTATTCAGGTCATTTAATCTCAGCAAAAGGGGTAGAGGCTGACCCACAAAAGATTTATTCAATGCTATCTTGGCCCGTCCCATGCACAATCAAAGGATTACGGGTTTTTTGGGCTTAACTGGTTATTACCGTCGCTTTGTGCAGAATTATGGTTTAATCGCGCAGCTCTTAACACAGTTACTGAGAAAGGATTCTTTTGCATGGACTGACCAAGCACAGCAGGCTTTTGAAACTCTCAAAGCGGCAATGACTGAGGTACCTGTTCTGGCAGTACCTGATTTCACTCTGCCTTTTGAAGTCCACACAAACACATCAGGCCAGGCGATTGGTGCTGTCCTGGTCCAGAATCAGCGTCCCATAGCATTCATTAGCCAAGCCTTCTCCAACCAGTCCCGACAGAAATATGCATATGAAAGAGAGCTGATAGCCATTGTGTTTGCTGTCCACAAGTGGAGTCACTACCTTAGTGGCCGCAAATTTATCATTAAATCTGACCAGCGCAGCTTGCAGTTCTTGACTGATCAACGTGCCAAGACACCCGAACAACAAAAGTGGGTTTCTAAGCTCCTCGGCTCCTCCTTCGAAATCCATTACCAACCTGGTAGCTCAAACCAGGTAGCTGATGCATTATTAAGACGAGGAGAGGGTGCTGAATTGGAGGCCATTTCGGTGATCCAATTTTCTGAATTTGATGAGTTAGCTGCAGAGGCACAACAAGACCCCAAGCTCCAAGTAATCATCCAAGACCTTCTTTTTGACCCTTCCAGCCATCCCCATTATGGTTTTCGCCGTGGTTGTCTCGTCTACAAAAACAGATTGGTATTACCCACAAATTCGAAATTCATTCCTAAACTATTAGCCGAATTTCACTGTAGCCCGGGAGGGGGCCATTCAGGTTTTTTCAAAACATACAAGAAACTGATGAATATAGTGTTTTGGGCTGGAATTAAGAAAGATGTGCAAAGGTATGTCCATCAGTGCTCAGTTTGCCAATTAAATAAGTATTCTGCCCTCAAACCAACAGGTTTACTTCAGCCCTTATTGATTCCAACCCAGGTTTTTGAAGATATCAGCATGGATTTCATTGGTGGGTTACCAAAGTCAAAAGGACAGGATTCTATAATGGTTGTGGTGGATAGGCTTACTAAAGACGAACATTTCATTCCCCTGTGCCATCCCTACAGCGCTAAAGATGTTGCTGTACTTTTTATCTTTGTTATTGTGAAGCTCTATGGATTTCCCAAATCCATAGTCTTGGACAGAGATAAGGTCTTTCTTAGTCAGTTTTGGCAGGAGCTATTCAAGGCTGCTGGCACTTGGTTGAAGTTCAGCTTAGCATACCATCCTCAAACTGATGGCTAGACGGAGGTGGTCAACCACTCTTTGGAAACTTACCTATGCTGCTTCTGTAGTTCGCAGCCCAAACAGTGGCATAGGTGGCTGTCCTGGGCAGAATATTGGTACAATACCACCCATCATAGTTCCATAAAAATGACCCCCTTCAAAGTCTTATATGGAAGGGATCCACCCAATCTCCTCAGGTTTACTGATTATCCTTCTGCTGTGGAAGAAGTGAACCAGAAGATGGCTGCACTCAATGCAATTTTGGAGGAATTGAAACATAACTTAGCTGTTGCTCAAGAACAGATGAAGGGCACAACTGACCTGCGCCGTCGGGATGATAGTTTTCAACCAAGGGACTAGGTCTATTTGAAGCTCCAACCGTATCGTTTCAAATCCTTAGCCAAGAAACTGCATGAGAAACTAAGCCCGAGATTTTATGGCCCTTTTACCATCTTAGAAAAGATTGGGCAGGTTGCTTACAAGTTAGAGCTGCTCGCTACGGCAAAAATTCATCCAGTATTTCACATTTCTCAACTTAAACGCAGCCTGCACCCCTCAGTGCCCATCCAGCCCTTGCCCTCTTTCCTCATCGAGGAAATGGAACTCCTTGCTCACCCGGAATCAGTACTCGCTGTCCGTACTTTATTAGATGGCTCTCGGGAAGTCCTTATAAAATGGAAGGATTTAGCTCCCTTTGAAGCATCGTGGGAGGCTTTTGATGTTATCAATCTGCAATTTCCCCAATGCCACCTTGAGGACAAGGTGGCTCTTCATGGGGGGGAGAGGGGGGAGGACAAGGTGGCTCTTCATGGGGGGTGGGGGTGTGGGGTGTGGTTTATTGATAGACCTCCCATTAATCATGTTTATCAATATAAAGGGCATAAGAGACATTTGAGGTAGTAAATGCAGGGTGTGAGGTGCCTGGTTGTTTGGAGAGTCTGTTACAGTCACGTGAGTGGGGAATCAAAGTTGTTAGTAGAGAATAGGTGGTTAAGAAGATAGTTTAAATAGAGGGGGTCTGTTCTGGAGTATTATCAAAGTTTTAGGCTATTGTCATTGAGGGAGGTCCCCAGCTCCTCGAATTGCTGGGATCTATCAGTTTGGTGTTTTATACATTGTTGGCACCTCTTCTATTTTTCAGTAATATAATCTTGTTGAGACTTTATTGATTATATTACTTTCTGCTTTGGGGATTGCTTGTGTGTTTGCTGGTTGATAGTGCAAGGAGTCTTAACAAATTCCTAAGTCACTTTAGCGCTTTGCACGTGCGAATAGTTAGTGTCAAAATCCAGCATCAACATTTTTTCTGTTATGCCTAAAAAATCAAGGCTGACACAAGCTTACATCAGTGAGAACCAATCAGAGTTCAAGAAAGCATTGTGTCGTCCAAGGACAAAAGGAGTAAGGTTGTCACCAGCTTGGCATGTAAAGACTTAGTGAGCGAGTGACTAGGAGTCACCCACCAACCCAAGCCTTACGCAATTTAAGGATATCTTCCATGCAATCGACCAATGGGAAGCAGGGTAAGAACTGTACGACACCTACCTGCTGACAAATCCGTAATCATTACCTAGAAACCTCTTACTATAAATAGAGAGCTCCCCTCTTATTTTTTGGGATTCTAATTCTAATAATATAAACAAACTCTCTCTCTCTCTCTCTGTATTTCTGTTTTCTCTAATCGCTGTATGCGACCTAATTGTAATCTTTCATAAATAAAAAGACAATAGACGTAGGATTCGTTTTAAGCGTCCGAACCACTTTAAAAATCATCTCCCTTTTATTTATTTCATTTTTCAGTTCACGTGTAATTTCTAAGTCCGTTTAACACTTTACACGTACGAATAGTTGATGTCAAAATCGAACGTCAACAAAATAACTCAAATAAAAGCGACATCACATCAACCATCCAAACATGAAAACGACAAGCAACTCAACAGTTATCAACAGAACGCATAAGCTGTCCCTTGAAAAAGGAGAAAATTTATTTATTATATTTCTTTAATAACACCTCCAGAATCACATAAAAGCATGGCTGTAAATAAGCATTAAATTAAAAAAAGGTAATCTCCCGATTAATCAGTCAAAATATAGATGAAATAAATGGTGAGAATCTATGAAGTAAATGAATATTTGTGTATACCAAATGCTACTCAAAACTCAGAGCATAATCTTAAACTCTGAAAACAATCATCTGCTGTAATACTGGTTCTTCATGGCATTTTGTTTTAACAGTGTCTTAAGGAGCTCTGTCAAAGGGCTGTGTATCATTATAACATACATCCCAGACTGCTTCCATGGCATCCTTTGCAGCTGCCTCTGAGCAGTAAGGATTAGCAATCACTGATTTCATAACTCGTCTTCTCACACAGTCCTGCGAATACCAGAGCAAAAACAAGATATTGAATTACATAAATTTGATAGAAAGTCCTAAATAAAATAGATTATAAAGAGTATATTATGCAAGTGAAGAAAATATATAAAAATTAGTAAAAATAAACTTTATGTGCAGTATTTGGGAGGACACAACTTCAGATGTAAAATGGAAGTCCTAATAACCAGATCATGTATGAAAAGTTAGCTTCCTTTAATAGCTAAATACAATGACAATTTGAATCCAGGGAAGCACGTCGTGTTTTTGCCATTAAAATAGTAATCACTAGTCATGACAGCACCTAATTCATGTTCAATTGGAAAAGCAACACTATAACAGTGAAACAATTTACTAAGATCATTATCTACACTTTCCCCCTGCACTAACTATGTTTTAAATGTACATGCCAAACTAACAATGTGATGATTTAACTAAGTAGTTCTCACAGAATTTGCAAGATGGTCCATCGATTCGCTCTGCATCCAGAGGAGCATAATAGCGACTGAATCTCATGGGATTAAGACTACAACAGGTTACAGGTCCCTACAGTATTTCAATGAGGAAGCAATATCAAAATTGCTTCAATGCCTAAATCTCGGTGATACCTTCCCATTTGTCATAAAACTCATACTGCTTTTGAACGGTAACCCACTCTTTAGTTATAAACTCTGCGTCCTCAAATTCCTTGCAACGATGAAGTTGCACAAACTATGATACATCCCAATATAAGTCCTTCAGTCCTTTTGGTTAAATCAAAATCAAGAGATCTAGTCTTTTCATTTTTTTCCTATTAACTATTAAACCACCACGGCACTACTCATAGGCAGAAAACCTGTTCCCCACATTCACAGACTATTTACAAAATGAAACTTCTTCAATTATTGTTAAGTTCTTTGTATAAGTATTGTTAAAATTCCATGGACAGCAGATAATAAAATTACAAAGAAAGGAAAATAGAGAGCTATGTCCAGAGATTTTATCTCAAGTCTTTCTTAAGAATTGAAACTCACTTGTTCGTGGCCTCTCATCTTCATGAAACCTCGCAACAATTCCCGTTTGTAGTGGCAATCACCACTTAAATGGCCTGCACGAATCTATTAACATAACTCATAAAAAATGGATAAACCTAAGTATCAAAAACAAGAGAGAGAGAGAGAGAGGTGAGGGGGAAATTGAATAAAACTTTCACCAGAAAGCCAATTTGATACCTCACTACAGGCATGATGAGCACAATTAGCCCAGTTCAAGTTTGCAGCACGACATTCATCGTATGCATGAATTAGCTCATGTATAACTACTTGGTTGACCTCATCTTGGATTGTCATGTGATTACTACACACCTTTATCTACACAGATGCTCACAAAACGAAGAGAAAACAAACTTAGAAAATGAACTATTCCATCAAAAATAATATTATTAATAAGCTATAAATGTGGATTTGCAAACAAAAATAGCAAGCGCAAGAAGAAGTACCAACAGAGCTGAAATGAACTTTACAAAGAGATTTTCGATTGACTGAAAGATAACATAATCAAAAGTAAAAAGATTTTACTCAATTTATCAACTAGAAGCTTCAATCTATGTAAGCTACTATATTTATTCAACTCTCACAAATAAAATCATTTTATATAGTAACCTGCCATATTTGAATTGAAAAAAAAAAAAATTTGCGAGGACACAAGCAATGGGAGATAACATGTCGTAAATTTCAACTAAGAGAATCAAAGCCAATTCATGTCAAATTGAACCAACCAGAAGATAAATCAGTTAACATCTAAATGAACCAAAATAAAGTAAAATAAAAATACCCCTGTACCACGAACAAAGCCCCCGCTAATTTGTTCATGACAATGAACAGCCTTGATGAAATTGTCCCCAACTGCACACCCAGCTTTCTCTAAATGCTCCTTCAAGAATTTCACCGTTGGGTCTACCCAAAACAAACAAATTTTAGAAAAATGAAGTTAATTTTAAACTCACTGAGAAATTCTTCAAAATCCAAAACTCAAGATCATAAAACCCTAGACCCTAGTAAAGTCTACGATAAGTCAAAAGGAGTGAAAAAATTACGTCTTAAACTTCTCCGAATCATGTCTTCGCATTCCTCGACGGCTTTACCGCCAGGAACGACGAAGGGGGGTGACTTCTCGTCGTGCTCTTCAGCCATCTCTCTGAGCTGGGATTTTGCTTGTGGGCCGTGGCAGTGGTTGTAGCGCGGACGGCACAGTAAATAACCGGTTCGGGTTTTTGTATTAAAATTGTTTATTTGCTTTTATTATTATTATTAATTTATATAAAACAAATAAATAAATTATATGAATATATACATATTATGATATTAAATCATTTAAAAAAAGTAGAAAAAATATATACAAATATTATGATATTCAATCTTTAAAGTAAACTTATATACAATCATAAGAGCAAAACATAAATGAATGACACCAATAATTTAAATAGTCAAAAAATTATTAAACATGAACAAAATTCATGTTAACATCACAAATTATACAGTAACATAACAATAAATCCAATAATCATATTTATTAACCTCAAGGGGTTGGCCAACGGTTAAGAAAATTTGCTTTTTTTGTTTTTTTGAATTTTTAGATTCAACCTTAAAGCTATTCCAGTTCTCTAAACTTGTTGGGTGTTTAATGGATCACAAGCACGCAAGCTGCCCTAACACCCGATTACCAAAAAAAACACTTGTAAATTTATAAAATTATTATTTGGATGATAACTTATTTATCTATATTAAAGACAAAGTTATATATATATATATATGATAGAATATTTTAATAAATTGAATGAAATAAATGGAATGAAAGTGATGGTATAAATTGAGAATTTGAAAGATGAAAGGTTAGTGGACTGATGGAAGAGGTTTTAAAAATTGGAAAGTGAAAAGTTAGAAAATAATGATGAAATTCAATGTTTTGACCCACCTTGAATACTTGAATAGTATCAAAAGGTATCTTCCTCTCGTTTCAAATACACTAAAAATTTTAATCTCTTATTTTCTCTTTAGTTTTTAAGGTTTTCTTTTGTTGGAGTTTATAATTCAGTTCGTTAGAATATAATAATGATGATTCTTTTGCTATTCATCAGTCGTTGTAACTTGGAAAACAGATATTACTCAAATCTTTGTGCACCCGAGTGAAGGAGACAAATATGTTTTAAGGAAACTATGTGTTACACAGGCCTTGACATTCATTATAATGTTATATTCTTTATCAGATCTCTTTCTGTCATTTTAAAAGATCTTTTATTCATGATCTCATTGTTAGTATTCTTAAATTTTATTTTACTGATATTTAATTCTATTATTTTTACATTTATTAAATTTATTATTTGTGGTTATCAATATAATAATCGAGTATTTTATATTTTACAGAAAACCAACACTCACAACAAGAAGTTGGGGTTTGTTAATTATTAACAACCCATGTAATCACGTGTCATTAGATGCTAAACATTGTCACGTAATATTTAAATAAGTTTGGTCCCAGCCAAATGAATCGGTCAAGTGAATGTTAATAACCTCTAATTAACAAACAGATTTAGCAAATACCTCACAATCCTTAACCTCCATCCCGCTTTGAATCCTATAAATTCCCTTCTTCCCATTTCCCTTTCATCCCATTCTTTGTCTCCGCAGTACTTCTCTATATTTAGAGAACTACTGCATTCTTGAGGATACTCCATATCTTCATTTTTTTTCTTTTTTCTCAAAAACAAAAAACCCAAACAAATCTTAAAACCTTCCCAAAATCCAAAAAAATAAAAAATAAAATGGCACGTCAATTCCTTGTTGTTTTTGCCCTCGCTTTGGTGGCTGTTGCCGCTTTTGTTTCCGCTGATCAGCAGTCTCCCAAAGCTGCTCCAACCGGACAGCCGACCACCGCACCCCCGCCTAATAATAATAACAAGCCCTCACCTCCACAACAGTCACAGCAAAATCCCCCAGCTAGCCAACCCCAACAAACACCACCTCCCACTACTTCCTCCGAAGCCCCCAAGGCCTCCCCCACCGCTAAGGCCCCCACCTCAACCCCACCCACATCTTCCTCCAAGGCTCCCTCCAAGACCCCATCTTCCAAGGCCCCATCCTCCTCCACCTCAGAAGAATCCGCCAGCCCACCCTCCACCAAAGTCGATGAGCCCTCCACCCCACCGTCTCCTTCCACTACTGATGAAGCCGCTACTGCACCCACTGCCACTGCTCCCACCGACGCAGCATCCGGTGCTGGTGCTCTTGAGGTCTCAGCTGTTGCTGGTGTCGCCGCTGCTGCCGGCTTCCTCTTCTTCTAAGCTGCTTATCAAAGTGTGAAGAAGAGAGGAAGAGTTGATCGAAGTCTCTTAAATTAATTCTTTTTTTCTGTGTGTGTGTTTTTTTGATTATAATTCTCAGGTTTCAAATGTATTGTGTTAGTTAAAATGAAATAAGAGAGGAAGCCGTTCAAAAAATATGTACTTATACTACTACTACTTCTAAGGCCTCGTCCATTTCAATTTTAATCATACATTCTTTATTCGTTTCATGATGATTTACGTGTATGTTTATGTGTTTTCCTCCATTTGAGCTCTTATTTACTCTATGAAAATTTCCTGAAATTCTCAGGTTCGTCAGCGTGATTAATCTGTTTTTTTTTCTTTATCTTTAATATTTTTCAGAATTTAAACAAAAAAGTTATTAGTGTTCTAATTCTTCAGGCATTAATGGTTTAATTTTTTCTTTTATATCATTCATTCTCAGGTTTCACTGTACATTCCCATCGTGCATGCATGCATCGTATTAATTCATACATCCGTGTCATGTTTTATTTCTCTTATATGAGTTTGGTTTCAGGAGATCTATTAAACTGATTAAAAATTGAATTAATGTTATACATGAAGATCAGTTAATTAAACCTAAATATTAATTTTAGACGAATATTGCATTAATTACTTCTTCAAACTTTTGATCAAATGATTAAAAGAAGGCAAATTTCCAAAATCCTACATGCTTAATTATTTAATCCAAAATAAACAATTGTTTGGATTATGATTAATTCGAAAATCTTAATTGTAATTTACATATTTGTGTTACAAGAACTTGATATTCACAACCATTTCCGCGGTTAAAAATTGAGCGAAAAACATGCTCCCACCCAAACTATGCTTTAAAAGACACTTTCCTACTCGAAATGTTTGAAAACGATAATTTTCCACTTTTTGACTTTTTATCCAAATCTATTAATAAAATCCGTTAATTGATATAATATTATTGATGTTCTTTCCTTCATTCTTAAGGGGTAACTTTGACTTTTTATGTTTTAGTATTTCTTTAAAAAAAAAAAAGAAAAAAAAAAAAAAACTAATCTCATCTCATCTCGTCTCGTCTCGTCTCCTCCTCTTCTCTTTCATATCTTTCTTCTTCTTCTCTCCCATATCTTTCTTTCCTTTCTTCTCCCTCTTTTCCCTTTGGTCACTAGGCAAGATCCTAGCAAGGGAATATGGATTACAGGCTGGCCAAGTCGAAAGCCTCTCTCCTCTTGTCTTCATCTTCTTCACCTCTCTCATAAAATGGCCAAAAAAAAAAAAAAAAAAAAGAGGGTCATTTTAGGGTTTTAATTTAATATACTTAAATTAAATGGAGCTTGGACACGTTTGCGAACCAAATTCATTCACGAACAAAACTTGAGTCAATGGGTTGTTGATAGCTATATTCTCTCTATCTTGTGCAACGTGGCAGACTCTAGACAGTACAAAACCTTCCTGAACTCTGATTGGTGCTCGCTGACATCAGTTTATGTCAACCTTGATTTTTAGGTATGACAGTTATTTTGGTGAGGATTAACTTGTAAAGGGCTTGAATTTTAACTATATTTTTGTGTTTGGGCTTGAATTTTGTGTTGTGGTGGGGATTTGGGTTTCTGAGGTTACGATAGAGAAGATGAGTTCAAGCATCATAGAAAGTTTGGTTCATGAGGGCAAGTTTCTGAGGTTATATTTTAATGGAATAAAGCGGAAGAAGGATTGCTTGTGTTCTTCTTTCTGATGTTCTCGGTCAAAATCGCATTAGATCGGGGTGCGATTTTACCTGGCCGGATGCAATTCCAGGCCACTGTGGATATGGTCACAGTGGAGGCTTTGATGCTGTAGTAGTGGATTGTGGAATTTTAATTAAAATTAATTATAAAAATAAAATAATTAAAATTTGAAAAGAGATTTTTATAAAAATTAAATAATTATATTATAAAGTTACTATATTGTCCTTATTCAAACGGATTTTGGTAACAGATTTGTATAGAAATTGGGTAACTATTGTTTTAAACTTTTTGGATATGAAAGTGTCTTTAAGGCTTAGTTTGGGTGGGAAGATGTCGTTTGGCCTTAAAAATTCACAGATTCACCTTTTTTTTTTTTTTTTTTTTTTTTTTTTTCAATACTCTAATTTTTAACTAGCCTTAATTTAAAGTACTTGAAACGGGTTTAGACACATTTTCTTAAATTTCTTGTTTCAAATTTTTGTTGAAAAAAAAATGAATTTACTTAAATTGTAAACCAAATGAACTCCCACATAAAATTAATGTCACATTATTATACAAAGGCTGATAAATCAAATGCTCGACTGAAAAAAAAAAAAAAAAAAAAATCTGTGTGTGTGTGTGTATATATAAAGGTGGTGTATAGTGTAAGAATGGATTTCTTCATTTAATAATGTAATGAGACTGTTGTTTTAAGATGATGAAAACGAAAGGAAAAAAAAATTCTTGAAAGTCTCTTCACCTCTTTAGTTTATTAAATCTGACCGTTTCTTCCACCAATCGCATTCTTCCCAAATCCAATGGCCAATCAGCTAACCTCTGACGGTTTCTCTCCCAGTTCGATCACACCTCCGGCAGTTGTCAATTGGATTCCCAGTTCCACATGACAAATAGGCCAGTTCCCCCTAGACGCATTGATTCTCCTATCAAAAGAAACAACTATAATTAACTCTAATCAAATATAAATTAAGTTGGTTTTAATCATAGTACGTAATGTACAATACCTGTCTACTTCATGTACAACTAGCTCATGGTCTTGAACTGGTGAAGAAGAAACCAGATTTGGGATTATTAGAAAGAGAAGAAGGAAAGTCAAGAGAGATTGAAAGATTTGACATTTTTCCTTTGTGTTTCTTCTCTCTTGGAGATCTTGTGTGGTAATTTTGAGTTGTGACTTGTGCGGGCTATATAAAGGATTACAGTAACATTAGATTTATCCATCCAACTATGACTCTGACATACAATTGATGTGGCTGATGTGACCTCATCTGCCACATCACATCAGACATAGCCAAGGCGACCTTTCTTGTTGTCGCCTCTCTACCGTCATTTGTGTCGGCGACTGGCGCGGGTGAGTTCCTGGTGAAGATATAGCTAGTTCAACCGTCACATTTACTTCCAAGTGGTAAGTCTCTGTTACACATTTACTTCCATTCCATATTCTTTTGCTCAATTAATTTTAATTTTTTACTTTTTATCATTTAGTTGAGTAAATATGCTACTGAGCTGACTGTGTTTCGTAGGGCCATACTTGTGACTTCTGTTCTTTGCCAACTTCTTGGATACCTCCATCGACAAGATATTGAAGGAATGAAGGCTAATTAGACCGTTATATTAGCACTTCAATCCAATTTTAAAGATAAGTGTACCATAGCATCCTTCATGGATTACACATATTCATTTCATCCTTATAACAATGGTGGAATTTTATGGAACTGAACATTTGTGCTACTGTAGAAGTATTTTTACTTGTTGGTATTTCTGGGGCTGTCTTCCGTATTTGATGAGATTTATTTCATTTGTTTGTGTTACAGCTTAAATAGAAATTAGCTTCAGCCACCTCAGCAGTAAAATATGTATTTAGGCAAGAACAATTGAGCAGAATGTTGTAAGTCTAAGGTTGTTGGGAGCCAGTACCCGTGATTAGCAAAATTGAAAGAATCCCAAATTTAAATCTGCCTTCCAAAATTCATTTCCCCCAAATTTTCGTTACAGTCTATAATATATACCCCAAATCATTTCAAATTTCAAAAACCCTAGCCACCACATTCTACAATTTCAGTCGCACTCGATGCCTGCACCACCACATTTCACCGCCGTCCAATCGTTTACCAACACCACCACAACCACAACCACCACAATCCAATTTCAGCCGCACTCTGACGCCCGCACCACCACATTTTGCAGCCGTGCTATCCTTTACCAACGCCACCATAACAAGGCTACTGGGCTACTGGCAAGCCTGCAAGGTATGGACGTGACCGTTTGGTTAGGCAGGTTATTGTTTTGTTTCATATTTGTTCAAATTGATTTTTTTTTTTTTTTGTTTATTTATTTAGCTAAGTTATTGAGTTGTTTATGCTTCTATCAGGATACATTCCGTGGGAGGGTATGTGAATGCCCCTTGGTTGATGGTGTGCAGGTCAAATGAGATGGTTACAGCCACTGCGAAGGTGAGATTGTTGTAAATGTACCTAGTATCAATTTCTAATTTTTTTTTCTTGTAGGAAAATTATTTACTTTATATGTGTAATATTGTTTGAATATTTGGTTGACAAAAATATAAGATATTTGCAAAGAATGTGAGCTGCTCACCAAGTATTTAGAGAAAAAAATAATTGGAAGAAAATCACATTGTTGGCTCCTGTTGGTTGATCTGTTGGTTAAACTCAACTTTATTGCGATCGTGTTTTTGATCTGTTAGTTAATAGTTATTGATCTGGATACTCTTTGACTGATGTGTTCAGAGTTAAATTTGAGTAATTAGTTTGGTGCAATTTTGTTTCCTTGGTTACTTTGATATGATTTCTGCCGTGGGTTGATTCATTAGAGTTTTTTAACGGTTTCATTTATAGCTTATTGAATTTGAGTCAATGACAACTAGTTAAATTTTCTTTTGAAATATTATTTGAAAGACCATGAAGAGGTGGCAGAAAATGTTGATTGGAATCATGTAAACAAGACATGCATGTGAAGATATGGATTAATAGGATTCAAAAACATAAATAAAGCATAAAAACATTTTACCTTCTCCTAGTTCTTAGGTTTGATGAAGCCAAGATTCAAAAGTATGAATCCTCCACACTTTAACACCACCTTAAGAGAATGAGAGAGTGGCTGAACCTAAGAGAGAGAGAGAGAGCTTGTTTTTCTTTTGAGTGAACAAAATGAACACTCAACCTAAAATGCAACCATTTGCATTTATATATACATTGGTCATTTTGTAATTAGTTGTTTTTCACTTGCATGCCCCAATAAAATCTTATTCTAAAAGAAGCCCAA